GATTTAGTAGAGGAGAATCTCAAACCATTAATTACTATTCTCCAGAAAAATAAAGTGCTAGTTTTTGTTATCTAAGCTGCTTTTGTCTGAAAAATTTTATACTCATTTTCATTTTATACTTGTTATATTTTTTATTTGTTTAGTTTTACTTACCTTGGAGGAGTTTCTATATTAAATAAATGTCAGTATTTTTAAGATCAGGTATTTTTTTCCAACTGGATTCAGTAGTTTTTAGTGGTAGTAGTAGTAGTAGTTCAGTAGTAGTTTTTCCACTCTGTCCAAAATGTTAATATAAACGGGTGGATGGTAATGTATTTACTGACTAATGTAGTTCTCAGCAGCAACGTAAACTTCCTTTTTTTGGCTGTTTGTCTATTCAGAAAGTTGTCAGTTTGAAAGATGATCTTCTGAATCACGAATACTAATGAGTCTTTTCTACATCAGAGAGCTGCTGTTGACTCACAGGACTCTATAGTTGCACATCAAAAGATTCTTTAAAGGCAATAAGAGACAAAAAATGGACAGGGAGTCCAGGATCGTCATCTGTCTGGCATATCCAAGTAATCCATGTATGAATTGGCTGTTCACTCTAATGAAAAACTGTGTGACAATCCTGTTACAAGAAACATCACATCTCAGTGACTTTCACATACTATTTGTATGAGCACATCTTGTTTGCGTTTCAGGCAGTGACAGCAGATACATGACACATACATTATAGTCCAGCAAAACAGATATTGTAAATTTAAAGCAACCCCATTGCCAGACAAGAACATTAATATTGGACAAATCTGAAAAAGATTATGTTTAATGAGAATGGCTGTTTCAGAAATCACTCCCTAGTTTCCATGTAGTGCGTTACATTAGGGTTAGGGTTAGGGTTAGTAGGGTGTAATTTATACACAATATAAGGCCTTCAACAAGTCCAGTGTGTCCACGGTATTTACCTTCTGCTAACGATTTCACAGCAAGTGACTCAGCCAACTGTTGCACCTAACGTTCGCTGCATGGCAGGTTACATCTTGTTCACTTATGTTTTTGTAATGTATAACTGCTAAATTGAATGGTCTCGATTGGATTAATCTTGTTATGTCATATTCAAATGTAAACTTACTTGATTTTGTTCCAAACTGCTTTGGCAACATTGTTTAAATGAAACAATAAAGCACACTGAACTGAACTGATTTCAGAAACAGCTCTTTTTTTAATGTTTAGTGCCAAACATTTTTTAATTCTTCCTTTCTACATTATCTGCACATGAAAATATGGTATGTTTAAAGCACCACTCAATATTTTCATATTAACAATAGCTCAAATAACTATATGTAAGGTGAAAGGTGTTGCTTTTGGGGATGGACCCACAGAGAATTATCACCGGACTCTGCAATTCTGTTTCAGCATCTTTCAGGTCATTGTTTTGGTTTTACAACAAGCACCTTTACTGTTTTGGTTCAGTGCTAGCTCTCAAATCCACTTGGTTTCCAGCAGCAGCAGGCAGCTGTTGTCAGTAAAAAAGCTTGGATAAACTCACTGTACAAAACCTACTCAGCACGAAATGGCAGGCAGACAAAGTTAGCAACTAACCTTTACTACCCTTAAAACGGTATTACTCACGCTGTTTATTGGATGTATGTAATGTGGAATATGTCTCTCACAGCCTTGTCTTTAGCTCTTCTGCTGTATTTCTGTGTTCTGCTTGCAGTGATACACTGCCAAATCTTTGTTTGTACGTGCTTGGCCTCATCAATAATTTCCCCCAGGTTATTCAGAAATAATGTGGGTGAAAGAAATTCAAATTCTCCTGCTTAGACAGAAAGCTGAATGTAATGAGCAATAACTTACTTAATGGGATTCATTTCTCTGATTACATTTCTTGTTTTATTGTGATGCACCAACATTGAAAACCAAAATGAAAACTCGATAAGACCCCACTTTGTAGCTACTTGCATTGTTTAGTAAAATCAGAAACTAACCAGCTTTCTTATATTAGTTCACTACAGTTTCCAAACACACAACTGGCAGTGATTGCACAGAGGAGGGTCTGCATAGGGAAAACTGAAACACACACACACAGGGAGTTTAACTCAACGCTTTTCCAATATTGTTTTAACTGTGATGCTAATAGAGCAAACTGAGCTGAAAATTTAATTGAAATTGCAAGAGAGAAAGAGGGAGACAAATGGAAGAGATGAGTAATGATAGAAAAAAACAAGGCAGACGCTGCTTTCATACAGTATCTGTCACTGTGCGTGTGTGTGTGTTTGTGTGTGTGTGTTGCCTGCGGAACAGTTGATGGATTTGCTGCTTGACTGCTCACACAGATTGGTGCCTGCTGTGATGGCAGCCTTGAACTGAAATTACGTGTGTGCGCGCACACACACACACACACACACACACAAAGAGAACTACACTTAATTGCAATTTCTGTGTGTGCGAGTGCATTTGTGTGTATTCTTAAGTCGGGACGAACGGGTGTGTTGCCTTTAGGAGGCCATTTCAAAGGACTGTGGAAGGATGGATGAACACAAGGCCAACCAAAGCAAAGCACCACAGAGGATGAGAAAAAGTTTATTAATAGCCATTGATTATATTCTGTGTCAGATGTTTCATTTTTATTGAATCAGATCAGTGACAGGGTGGCTGGTTTCCCCAATTATTATCCTTTTTTTAAATTGGTGAAACAAGACAAAAACACAACAGAACAGATAAACTAAGATTAATTTATACAGCTTAGAGAGAGTTCTGTTTTATTTAAGAGTTTACTGAGACGATACACTAATTTTGGCAGTTGGAGTAGATTATGAATTATCTTATTTTTGATCAAAATAAGATACCTTTAAATCCCGTCCATAGATGAAATGAATGTATTGTCCTAGTATTTGTGGTGAAAATGTTTGTTTTGTTTCAACTGTGCTGGAGTGTAGAGGAGATTTAGTATGTAAGGATGAGGAAGAATGAGATGAACATCAAACTACACCACCTGGGGAATCTCACCACAGGAAATAACAAGAGAGAAGAGTAAGATACTAAGACAAGACACGCAGGTTTTCACAATGTCACTAAAAGATGAAAATAAGTCTTACAGTAAAAATCTGTAGTAGCTGGAACTAACGAATGGATTAGTAGTTAGTATATATAGAAAGTCAGTATATATGTAAAGAAATCAAGAAATCAATTCTTTATTATAAAAGTAGAGTTATAAAGATATACTTATTTAGGGACTTTATTACTCAGGATGACTAGCAACAACAGGCCAGTATTAAGCTTCTGTAATCTAAAGAGAAGATGAGCAAACAACATGCACCAGTTGGTTCATATCATTGTAAATCTAACACCAGCACAACAAGAGCTGCACTGAAACTGCACTGTATTAGCATGACTAAATCAATAATGCTTGTCCAGCACCTTATTTACCACTTTATGGGGATTGCAAACAAACATTTCAGCTCACTCACAGGTCAGCTAGACAGGTAGAGAAGCTACAATCCTGAAGCCAAAGCCACAGGACAAAGTTAGAGGTAGAGAGAGAACCAGATGTGCCAGCAGGTTCCTTAAATAACCCTGACACTGATTGAGACTAACTGGCAGGATGAGTCAGTAAAGATGACAGGGCTTCATTTAAATGCAATGAAGAAAACATGTTCCCACTTACCACATGTGCAAGTTTTGAGAACTATACACATGGCTGTCAAACATTTGGGAATTTAGAATGGTTTTGAAGCAGTTGTAATATTTGATATTTGTACCTTAAGGGTAATCTTGAAATGTTGATGGTTTCAGAGAAAGATACACATAGCAAGGTAATGCATCTGATATGCTAAGTCACAGTGGAAAAAGTAAAGTGGACACATTTACCATTTTTCTATTAAAATCTTTGGAATCAATAAGAAAGAGGTAGTTGACTTAAGGTAAAATGTTCCCTTTTACATGTTTCCGCTAGCATTACATTCATTTTAAAATAAAACAACTCACTGCTGGCCTTCGGTTTGCTAAGATAGGTAGATAAGTTTGGCGTAATTAGCCCATGGTACATTCTGAGAGCGAATGAGGTTGTTCTCCACCTTGTAGCGCATTTGATCGTTTTTGAAGATAAAGTATAACATCATCTGCATAAAAGTGATTCGTGTGTTGTGAATTGTGAAAATCCCTTTTTTTTCTTTTCAGTTCTGCCAGATAGAGCTAGCAGGTGGTTTGTTTCAAATATCAAATAGTAAGGGAGAGAGTGAGCAACCCTCGCTGGTGTGTTAAAGTCTGAAACTTTGTGAATTATCCATAGACTGTATAAAAGTTGTGGGCGTAGCCACAGTGATGTGACATCATGCTATATCAAAGAAGACCATACACTCATTAGGAAAGTGTTTACTGAAGTAATAAATCAGGTGAGAAGTAGGGTCTTTTTCCTCATAAGCTTACATCCAATCTGACTTATTTTTGAATGCAGTGGAGTCGCCCCCTGCTGGTCATTAGAAAGAATGCAGGTTTTCCGAATTGGCTTTACATTACATTTATTCATTTAGCTGACTCTTTTATCCAAAGCGACTTACAATTTCTAAGTATGTCAGAGGTTGCATGCCTTTGTAGCAATTAGGGGTTAAGTGTGTTGCTCAGGGACTATTTGCATCCCTGAGCAATGTTCCTTTAACCCAACATCCATCAAGTATTTGGTGGCTAAACAGTGCAATGATAAACACCACAGCAGCCATTATATCAGAGTAGTATTGAAATATCAATGTGCGTGTCACAATGTGTCACTTGAAACTGAGTCTCTCACACCAAAGACTTGCATGTTATCCACTGCACCATCACCACTCCCTTTACTTTTCAAATCCGGAGGTTCCCCCTTGGATGTAACCCTGTTAGTAGTCACAGTGGCCATCGATGTGCTTTGTCACTATCTTGTGACACTGTAACTGCCTTTGTTTTGTTACAGTGTGACGTGTAAATTCAATTCTGCAGTTCTCTCATGTTACACACTCTTTCTGTCTTTCGTTCTTCTTTAGTGGAGCTTCAGGGAGCAGCAGCGAATCAGAGAGCAGCTCAGAGTCGGACACAGACGAATCAGAGAGCAGCTCCAGTGACAGCGAGTACAATCAGGCCACCCGCACAAACACTCCAGAGGTGAGACGAGTGTTTCTGTGTGGGAGTGTGTGTGTTTATGTGAAGTCCATGTGAATATGAGTTTATGGATGAAATGAATGGAATGGATAACAACATTATTCTTTAGAAATTAAAATTTTTGCGGAAGACACAACTGTATTAATGAATGTGAAAATATCTAATATTAATAAAATATCCATTATTATATTTAATACATTGAGAAATACATAGATAAAACTCAGTCTCAGTCATTAAGCTGCCGCAGTGGTCCATGGCCACTTAACATACATGTATTCAACCTCTACACAGTAGGAGAAGTAAGAGCTAGGTGTCATCAAGTGTTTATCAATACAAAACCAATCACAATGTTTTTTAAAAAGTTATAATATAAAAAATCCTTTATATATGTATTGTCCCATCATTCAGTAAGCAGTCCGTTCAGTTGCCACATGCTTATTTCCAACCCCAGTTTGGATCCAATCTATCATTTCTGGATGCAAAGTTATGTTTATGCCAGCTGTAAGAATCTCATATTCCTGGTGCACTTTCTTTTATGAATGGAAATACAGAAATTATATTCATTAAGCAATTATTCAACAAATGGCAGTAAGAAAATATTGACATGTCATGTGTGTCTCCAGCTCTGACAAGTGTCTCCAATTTTGTTTACGTTTCATAAAGAGACAGATGCAATTTCATTGTCCTTTTTTACTCTCCCTGATACACTGCCTGTGCATTAAACAGTCACTTGCGACAGTCTCTGGGTGGTGCTCTGAAAGTCATAAAACTCCTGCTGCAGAAAGCTGAATTATAACATTATTTATCACATTATTTTAATGGCTCAACGCTGCCTGGTTTGATGGGCTTATGCAGTCATACCCACTGAGAGAAAGAGAGACATGTAGAGAAAGAGAAAAATCATTTGGTAGCATGCAACACAGAAGCGGCCATATGTTAAAACACAGCTACTTTCATATCGCACTAAAATAACTTCTCTTTTTATTCTGCAAACAATAAGCACTTTAATGATTTATGATTTAAAGACAAAATCCCTTTCAAAGGAAATCACATCTGTAACTTCCCTTGAGTCTAATATAATTTTGCTACAACTGTGGCACTATACAGCCATCGTAATTCAATGAAGGTGTTACAGAGTGCAGTTACTTCTGAAATATTTAATAATAAAATAAGTTGTTTTTCCCACTATAGCCTGAGCCCCCCTCCACCAACAAGTGGCAGTTGGACAGCTGGTTGAATAAGGTCCAAGCTCAAACCAAACCCCTGGTTCCCCCACAGCAAGAACACCATAGCACAGGTTGGTATGGACACTTACACCTACTGTGTCTTAAAGAAACTATGGTATGTAGTAAAAAATCTGGTTTGATCTGGAATACTTTTTCTGGTACAATGTTTCCCAGGCTCCGTCACCCAGGGTCCGGACACTTTCTCTCCAAGGAGTGAATCACCAGCAGTGGGTACAGCTGCTAAGACCAAGCCCTGCGGATCCAACAGCACCCCTGTTCCAGCTGCACCAACGGTGGAACACAAGGATACAAGGGGGGGCTTCTGGTAGGAGCTGCAAGTGTATTTGTTTGGAAATTTGTTCGCAATTCGCAGTTGTTTGCAATCTGTTTGCAATCTGGCAACAACTGGCAAAAATGTGTCTCTAACTATAAAAGAAAAGACAATTTTCTTGCTCCCCACAGCCCAGGCAGAGAGAAGGCCAAGGCCAAGCTCAACCAGAAGGCCCCTGGGGACGGCCAGAGGTCAAGGATGAGGTTGTCGCCGGGCCTGTTGTCAGGACCAGAAGTCATGACCCCAAGGAGGAACACCACAGGGAAGAAACAGCCCAGGCGGACAGAGAGATCAAACAGTGTGGAGGATAATCAGACCCAGACATGGAGCAGAGCAAACCAGCATAGGTAAGGAAGGGAGGACAAGACCCATCCTTAACATTTGGGATAAGCTATAAGTGTTTACAATCAGTTAGTAGCTGCATCCCAAACGTATGACTTAATTATTATTTATATAAAATGTAAAATTAGCAGTGATTGTTTCCTTGCAGCAACAGTTTCTATTAATTTTTGATCCATTGCTTTTTCCATTACACCCACAAAATTTCTGCTGTACCAGGAAGTGGCTACATACTCAAAATGGCATTGAACTCAAGGCCCAGCCCTTTCCTGCTCAACAATTTAGTCTTTAGTGCTTTCAGTGCCATTGTCTCTTGTAATTATCTAAAAGCTAATTATCTAAAATCAAACAAAAACAGTTTGATTCAATATCCAACACAAATGGCCTCAGTTTTCCCTAAATGAGGGGTGTGTTTATTTTTGAGACATATTCTATACTTCAGTTGTAACTTTATTTAATGTAATCAGTGCAGGTTCGATTTTAAATAAATCACTTATAATATATAAGAAGAAGAAGAATTTGAAATATCACTTTGCTGCTTCACCGAAGCCAATGGCTCTTAATCTGGACAGCAAAATTTCATAATCTACACGAACGAGTTTACAGGAAGGAGTTGTGCCTGTGCCTGTGTGCATCTGAGTGAATATCGGTAAAACTATTACAATTACTGTTAAGACATTACTGCCAGTATCAAGAACTTACAGAGGCTCTAGTGGATCACTGAGCATCTTGGCAGCTAGCCACTGAACACTGTCACTCCCACATCTGTTGTGAAAAATGCTCAGACTGAGTAGAGGCCATGCCAAACTGCCTGCTCAGCTTGATGCTGGGCTAATTAGAAAAAAAACATTGACTTCGTAGACTCTTTTCTTTATTCTTTTCTCCCTCAATCACTTGTCCGCTTCCCCTCTCCATTTTTAAGCTTTCCTCATCCAAAGTTGGGCTGAATACATGCTGTTTTCAATTATTTCATGCTGTCTTATATATTTTTTTCATTTTAACACACATTCACCCCCTGGAGCTGGCCAAGGCAAACATTATCTTCTACTGTTTGTCAGTGTGAAACTCCACTGCGGTACTAGTGCCTTGCTCAAGGGTGAATCTAAATCGGATTGTGACGCTTCCTCTTTTCCCGCTGCAGCCCTGCAGCAAGGGAGAAGGACCTGTTGCCTCCCCCCTCCCTGGAGCATCAGAACCCCCTGAGGCCACGAAGCAAACCCCCCAGTGGGAAAACAGCCCCCAGGAAAGAACCTCGCAGTGCTACCAACTCAAACAACAACACAGTTACTCCACCAGCGGCACTACAGCAAACTCCTGTGCCAATACCTGCTGTCAGTGTAAACCAGGTTAGTTGTTGGGGGGTGTAAATATTTTCTGTCTTCTCAGCGATGGCCTTAATGGTTGCTCATAATAATACCAATGTCTCAAAGTTTATTCAGTAGTTATTCAGCACTGTGTATCTTTGGTGAAAGGATATGATACAAAGTGAGTATCATCCAGTCCAGTTTTATAACTTTACTTATCTAGAATATGTAAAAACACAGCTGCACGCATGTAACACTGTCCATGTATGCTGTAATGAGCATTTCATACTTATAGTCTCTTAAAATTCCACAGGATAAAAACTGTGTTATTACATGACTATTACAGCTCAACGCTGACTGGTTTTATTGAAATATGGAAAGGGAGAGAGGGTGTCAGAGAGACAGAACTGAGTCATCGACCATCGTCTTAACCTATAATGAGTTAACACTCTATGGTTTTATGAAGATTGGGTAGTTTCAAGGAGATGGGAAAAGAAAGAAAGAAAACCACTCACTAAGCAGGCTTTATGTAAGACATAGATAGAAAAAGGACAGGAATGAAGATTAGATAACAATCATGCCATGGCTACAGATGATGGAAATATCCCTCCTCTATACTTTACTTTAATTAAAAAGAGAAAGTAGAGTTTTTCCAAATACCTTTATTTAATAATACCAAATTCAAAATATCATTGTCACTAACAAAGAGTTAAGTCTCTACAATTTTAGACATTGAAATACCACAGGGTGATTTAAGCCGAGACAGCAGTCTGTAAATGAGCCCATAGTCACAAATAATCTTGCAAATGTTGACCTTATGTAACTCGAGAGAAAAATGTCTGAAATCTACAGAAATAAGGTTGACATATGAGAGAGCCGAATATACACGCTCATCTCTGGCAGAACAAAAGGAGTGAACATCAGTTCACACAACGCACTCTAGACATTTTTTTTTAAGGATGTGCCATGTTTTGATCTTGGTTGATCTTCATGGCACCGGTGCCTCGCCTCATTAAATTTCTTTTCCATTTTTATGCTGTCATTTGGAAGAAAATATGCTTGAAAAACTGAGTTAATAAATGAACAGACAACTGTCGATAACAATGAACCAATGAAAACTACATTTTGACATTAACAACTAGCAAACATGACAAGACTGACCTGAGAGTGAGGTTCAAACTTTGCTTCACTAAGTAGATATAACAAAAAAAAAATCTCAAGGGCTATCAGTTTACATCTGTTATATTAAAAGGCAGATTCTACAATTTTAACTAACCTACAGTACTGTAAATATGGGACCAGAACAGAAACTAACATTCACACACACAGGGTTCAGTATCTTGCCCAAGGATACTTGGGCATGCAGCCTGGAGGATCCAGGGATTGAACCGCCAACCTTCCAATTGACAGGCAACCCGCTCTACCTCCTGAGCCACAGCCCCTGATCTGCTGCCAGCCTTAGCTGTGCACAACAGCTGGCAGGACGGCTAATGTTAGTGTCAACTGTCAGAACTTTGGATCCAAACTGGGGTTGCTCGGGAAATAAGCATTATAAAGGGTTTGTTTCTCTTTTTCAACAAAACACAGCATGGCACTTATTGAAAATGGATTTGCAGATGGCAACATGCATTGGACTGAATCCAAAAGTTTGTTTCTTTGTGGCTGCCAAGCATGTGGGTTTTGCTCAAGACTGGAAACATTAGTGGAATTCTCTTCGCTGCATCTACCTCTGTTGTTGTTTTCTCATGTTGTTGTTGCACTCGCAGCTCTGTGACTCGCGATCAATGATTGTTTCAAACAACAATCATTGATCATTTCGCATCGAAAATCTAGCATCCCTCATCTGAAGGCCAATTTTGATTGGATACAAAACAAGGTCAGAGATGCAGGTGTAACTCCGCTGAGCTACCAGGAAAATAAACAAAGCAGATGCAGGCTGGTTGAGCTTGCTGGCACACAAGAAGAATGTCAGGATGCAAAAAACAGTTTGTTCACTTAAAGGATAAGGCTGGGTGATATTTTATTTATTTATTATTGTCTACAACTCCCATCAAAAGACTAAAACCGACAATGAATCAATCCTACTCAAAAGTATTTTCTGTGTATCCAAAGCCTGATATCAATTCTGCTGCTGTAAATACTAGGAGTGTGACGAGATCTTGTGATATTAAAATGTGACAAAATTTCTCGTCGAGGTGAAGAAGATGTTAGCATATTGCTGCGCCCGCGTCTCACACAAACACACAGCAGTCAGCTCAGGGAATATCAATGGCAGCCTTTCACACCAAACTTACTAGTGGAAGATGTCCTGAGTGACAGACTGGGTATGTGATATTCAGTCAAATAAAAGACAAATTTTCCAGTCATATATTTTTGTCATTGAAGATTTCTTCAAAACTGTGAGGTAAGTGTATCGTCACACCCCTAGTAAATACTAGCGCACCAAATGTGTATTAACCTGTAGCTGAAAATAGTCCCCAACAAATAGGGATGGATATCGCTGCTCGATACCTTCATGGTACCGACCGAAACAGCCCAGTATCGAGTAGAATCGAAACGTCTCCAGTCAAACCAGTACTTCATCATTCGATACTTTTGTAGCCAGATTGCAGCAAAAAATGTCTATTTGTATAGTTTTGCTTGCAGCCAAACACACAAGTAACACCGACAGAAAGAGAAGAGCACTCCTTTTTTCCCTTATGTGCCTGCACTATAAACTGTAAAAAAAAAAGGCGCTCAGTCCATGCTTGATTTTAACATCCGCTCAACTTCGGCTGCGGTCTCAGGCATGTTTGTCACTGTTGCAAGTTTATCACCACAAGCTTGACTTACCGTTGGTTTCATTTTCTGGTATCAATTAACACTTTTTTGTACATTTTTATTTCATCACAGAGCCTGCAGCTGCGGCTGCTTCAGGTGTAGTTGGTTTGGCTGGACGTGCAGATTCTCTTTTCCTCTGTTTGGGAGTCTTTAGTGTAGTTTAGTGACTTGTTTAAACAGACCCCTTACTTGTTTTCTATTTGTGACTGTCGTTTTTGGAGGTATGCGACTCACCACTAAAGGAAAAAGCGCTCGCGGAGAACTTTCAATTCAGTATATATATATAAATTATAGATTTATCATGGAAAAAGTATTATGATTTCTACTGAAGTCATAAACTTGACTTCTACGATGGAACTGGGACAGTTCAGCGTGATGATGTACTGAGAGTTTGTTGGGCTGAAAGGCCGCTGCCAAGTAGCAGTCAGAAATGTGTTGCTGCTTTTAAGAAAAATGCATCACTCATTCACTTTTGCCATTTTTCAAAATGTAGCCTGCGTCAGTGAGGAGACAATTTTGAATGATCTGTGATAAAAATACAAAGGGTCTTTTTTTGAGACCATTACAACTAAGAAAGAATTCGGAATAACCAATGTGACGTGCATCTTTCAATTTGCGTGTGACAAACATCAGGCTGCCTGTTCTCAGCTGTGTGGCTCGTGTGCAGTGAAAATTACTGACATACTTATTAGCCGTACTATTCAACTCAAAGCTCTCTCCCCTTTTGTCTTTTGTCATTTTTGTCTTACAACAGGATAAGCGGAAAAACAGAGGTCCAAACGCCAAAATCACACCCAAGTCCAGAGAATTCATCGAAACAGATTCCTCCTCCTCCTCCTCTGAATGCCAGTCAGATTCAGAGGAAGCCGTCAAAATCCCCACTCTGCCACCTCAGACGACACGCTCTGCGATTAACACACAGACTGTGTCCAACACACACGTACACACGCCTCTTCTCCCATGCCTGGCCTCTGTTGGCACTGTGGGGAGTCTGGGAACATTTGGAGGGAAAGGACTTCGAGTCAAAGATGGTAGCAATGTGACCACTAATGGTAGCAGCAGTAATAATAGTAGCATCAGCAGTGGTGGTAATGGTGGCAGTAATAGCGGTAACTCCCTAAGCATCAGCAACATAAGTGGTTCATTTGGAACCTCTGTTCCTGATCCTGGAGGGTTAGGAGGACAGTGCAAAGACCTGGAGTCCATGTCGCCACCTTCCAACATGGGACATGAGGTGCCTCTTTCCCCCTTGAGGGAATACCAAGAGATCCAGAGTTTATGGGTGAAAATTGACCTCAGTCTGCTCAGCAGGGTGCCAGGCCAGGGTTCGGGGGAAAGATCCAGAGCGGGAATCGCAGAAAGGGACGGGAGCGAAGGGAGAGACAGAGAGAGACAGGGGGAGAGGGAGAGGATAGGGGTGGCAGAGAGAGAAAGACAGAAGCAGGAAGAGAGAGAGTGGCCAGGGCTGAGAGAGAGGCAGAAGTTACCTAAAGGGGAGAAAGAGGAAGAAGAAAATGAGCGGTTAGTGCAGGACAGAGAGAGGCAAGGTGACAGATTAACAGAGAGAGAGCGGCAGACGGACAGAGAGGACAGAGAAAGACTGGGGCTCGGGGAGAGGGAGCGAATGACAGGCAGGGACAGAGAGAAGGCGTGCCAAGGTTTGGGGGTCCTGGACAACCCCCCTACGCAAGAGCAGAGTAATCCCAGGCTGGCTGGGAGGACGGAGAGAGGAGAGAATGGAGGCAAACACAGGAGGCAGGCAGCTGGAAACATAGTGGTCCCAGCAGAGAAACACACCAGCAAGAGCAAGAGGAAACATAAGGTGTGGCTGGGAGTTGCTTTTAGATTTTTCACTAAAATTCTCTTCACAATATGTGCCTAACCATTCCCGCTCCTGTTTTGCTCATAAATTTGACTCTCAACACCCCAATCTGTGTCCTTTCCCCCTCAAATTTATATGATTTACTTACTACTACTACTACTTATAGTGTGTTCTTTCACATTCCAGTCGGACCACAGTGAGGCATCAGTCAACGGGAATAAGAAGCTGCGATTGGATAAAGACTGTCAGCTCCTCCCACCCTGCATCTCTCCAATACACAACCACAAGAACAGCTCTACAGAGTGAGTATTATCGTACTTCACACAGCTGCTAGATCACCTCACCGAAGGACTAAACAGGAGGAAAAGTATTCAATACTTTGATACAATAATGTATCAATGGCATTCTTTGTGAGTATTCTCATATGAAGCAGTTTATTTAAATAGTTGTGGGGGTTTTTTTGCGCATTATTACCTGAAAATTAAATCAATCAACAGAAGTTGAAGAAAAAGGTTTTATAATGCATTCATCAACATTAAAAGTAACCTATGTTTATTTTTACAAACCAAAAAAGCTATGTTTGCATTACAATGCAAAAAAGACCGTTATAAGCATCCTTGAGCCCTTACACGTCTGTTGAATGCATTCCTCGTAATGCAAATTTGAAACCTCTTTTGTTTACATCCACGTTTGCTTGCTAGCAGTCACCTCTTTCGTTCCCTTTGCTGTTGCATTGTTACGTGCCTTGGGGTTGACATTATTCCACTTATCGACAGAACCGTGTATCACCTCACCTGCCTGCATCAACATCCTCAAACGGGTGTCTCCTCCTTAAAACATTGCTCCACAGCGCTACTAGTGGTCAAAAACTCCACAGGGCATCTTTAAAGCACTCACACCAAAACAAACCCCTTTCACTCCTGCACACTCTGACTCCAGGAATCTTCTGAAGATCACAGCCTGATGATATAACAGTGTAGATGCTGAGATTTTACCACTATTATGTTCATCCTTTGCATTTACAGTGTTCTCTCGCTCTGTCTTTTACCAACAAAGCAGGTGTGGAGAATGAGATTTCAACCATGTAATGGAAAAAAAATACACTGTCATGCATTGCTTCAGTGATGTCAGTGAGAGTGTTTCCAAACCATGTTAAATAGAGGGGGCAGGTATTCACGCTCATTGTGAATCCAGACTTAAAGTACCCTACCTTCCAATAAAAACGACTGCATGACATGACAGAATGTAAGAAATAAGTAATTCCTGTAAACTGTTGAAGGCTCCACTTTGCCTTTCCCTATTCATCCCCTCACACGCTTCCTAAACACCACGTCCTCATGTGACTGGGACAGACACTAGTAGAGTATTTTTAGGGAGAGGCTTAACATTTTTAATGTGGTTATGAAGTCACTGGAGAGTTCAATTCACACTGTGACACTGGAATGACAAATTGTGAATTTCAGCTTTCCATGTGAATTATTAAAAACAGACTAAGCTGGCTGTCACCATAAATAAGCCTCAACGTGACAGCTACAGAGGAAATGTTTTTTATAATGTCTCAGCATTATCAAAGAGTACACAGCAGGAAAAGGCGGGAGGGGAAAAGGGGGTGACCTGGACATGAACCCATGACATTGTACGGCAGACGTCTCAGAGAGTCTCTTCATCATCCAAGAGGCTTTTTATGGAAGCTGTGAAGTGAATGATTTGATCATCCTGCTCAAGCTCATTCAGCAATTTCTAACCTGCAACTTTTGACAGTTGCTGACACCCTGTTTTAATCAGTGACAACAGATAATTGGAAAAGAGATGGATGAATCATTGCGTTTTTACCCCAGGAAAGTTTTGTTTTGCCTTTGTAAAACCTTTTGTTACCTTTGTCCTCATTTTGTCGAGCATTTGAGCACAGGAAATGTCAATTAGGGCCATAAATAGTCTTAGTTTTTTGCAGTCAAGAATTATTATTAATAGTTTTTATTATTAAACTGAAAAAAAGAGGTCTTTGTATGTGGGAACATATGTTCAGTGGGGAGTAGGGTACGTGTCTTATTGTTTATAACAACAACAACTGACAGAGGTAGTACATTTTCTATAGTTAAATCTGAAACTTGTGTGGGAATAACAGCAGGATAAACTAAATAATCCATATACTCTAATTGAGGATATTTAGCCCTGCTGGACACTCAGACTGTTCATTTGGTCAAAACTGCAAAATGGGAAAGAGACAGAGTTATACAGTGATTAGCACCACAACATGTTATCAGTGCTGCGTCATGTATCAGATAAATGTCCATCCTGGTTGTCCTCAAGAGTGGTAAAGGGACTGCACTTGTATTATACTTTTCTACCTTAATGGACAAAGCACTTCATATTTGGCTTCACACTCACACAATGATGGTGACAGAAAAATGGCCGCCAACCCTGTTATTAGTGGATGTCCCGCTCTACCTCCAGAGCCGCAGCCCTGTCAGAGCACCTGTCGGTACTTTTTCTGCAGAGTGTTTGTTTTTATCACCTGACCTCCACAGGTTGGTCAAGGTTTAGTTGCTGCTCTGTGCGCACAAGAGGACACCGAGATTCCGTTTCTATAAAATAAGAAACAATGCATTGCAGCCCCTACTGCGCTGCCTGTGATACAATGCTGACTTTATGCAAGATTTGATTGGCTGTATTGAAATAAGGTCTCCATCTACGGAGATGGATAACAATATTCTGTAATGCTAAATTAGGGGGCACCATCATGAAGCCAAAAAATATCAAATATCAATTTTGGTTTCAGAGAACACAGGACAAGTGATTTACAGAGCTGAAATGTGTGCAATTCAGCTGTGCTTTAAAAGCCAGAAATCTTCCCACCTGGCCGTGTAACTGTTGAGTCATTGCAAATGTATCACAGAGGAATATTTGGCAGATATACTGTGGTCATTTAAAGAGATAATAAGTTCAGAAATTTACAACCCAATGGCACAAAAAGAGCTCTGAGAGCTCTCACACGCTTTCCTGCACACACCCACTGGCACCCACTTAAGGACATACACACACGCGTCCACATTAGCATAGTCATACATACAAGGACACTCGCACACCTTCATTATGCTGTGCACAGACACAAAAAACACACACACACACACTCACATATTCACACATACACTAGAGCAACTAATTAGTCTTTGTCTCGCTGGTTTTGTGTATTATCACTAATGTCGGGGCCCGAGGCGCTGTTCTGCGAGCTCAGCAACTTTTCTCGCTGCCTCAAACCCCCAGAGTTTCCAGGCAGAGGAAAAACATAAAAATATTATCTGTTGTGTTGCAAACAATATGAGTCACAAGAGCTACAATAAGGCAGCTGAGGGAATAATCGTTGATGCTCTATCAGGGAAGGCAGAATAACAACAATTTTAAAAAGAAAAAAATCATTCAGCAACTGCAAATGAAGTTGCAACAAGGTAGTTAGACATTGCTGGCTCAGCCTATTGAAGTGGGTCTTTAAATGCTGGATGTTTGCATCATTAGAATGTACTTTTTTCTTTCTTTTGTGCTGACCATGTTGAAAAAATATTGTGACGGTGAAGACGGACCAAATAAAATCAAGCCAAGTCTGTTAATTAGTGTAGCCCTGAAAATGGACCAGCTCTTTTAAAGAGCAGAAAACAGGGACACATCAGGACACCTGGTCATTATCAGGAGGTCTCAAGTAAAATGTAATGTTTGCACAGAACTTGGAAACCACCTAATCTTTTAAGTGCAGTGATTTTCCGAGACTGACAGCATGTGAAATTTGATTGCAGCAGAATCCCCAAAGCATGTGTATTTCTATTTGCAGAGAGGCATGGGCTAGCACCATAAAGGACAAAAGTAATAACAACGTGAATAAGAAAAGTATATTTTTAGGTTGTATTTGTGCGATAATGACACATGTATCTGTATCTGCTATGATGAAGTACTTTGAGGTTACTGAAGCTTTGACGTTATTGAGATTGGTTATTTGAGATTTTGCTTTATAAGATGATAGATCGTTCATCAGTTATCATTTGTTGTTATGATCATTTCCCCAAACTGTCAAGATAATGCTGACTATTTTTGGAGAAGTTTCAACAAGCCCAACTCTAAAGAAATGGATTTTCTATTAAGGACATTAACGAATGTACTATATGAGCTGTAATAAACGTTAGGCTAAATAAATGAATAATCACACTGCTTTGTCATTTTTGTACCTTTTTTGTCTGTGTGTGTTCAGTAGCTCTCTAAACAGGAAGCCGTCTCGGCGGCGCGATGAGAAGCTGCTTCCACCCCTCCTGTCCCCCCTCTCTGACGATCCCCCTCGTAAACGAACCTGTGACAGCAGTTCCTCTCTCAGCCAGGAGGGCGGCGCCGCTGGGATGCTGCCTTGCTCCACCTCTTCCACTTCCTCTTCCTCTTCCTCACACAGACACAGGAGAGGTGAAGGCAAGGCGTCATCGCACGCAAGAAATGGCAGCGTGAGTGCTCAAGTATACTATTACGTGTTGCCATATATCATATTCAGATATTATTCAGATACTAACACCATGTTTTGAAGGGATTTGACTGCCGGTCAACTTTCACTCTAAATTATGATAACTTGGACCTTAAACCAATGCAGCACTCCCAACTAGATTATTGGCTCTGGTGCTTTATTTTCCACACTTTGGCACACACTATGTTTGAGTGATAGCACGCCAGTGGCATAATCTTCTCATCTGACACTGACATGCAATTGTTAAAGCGTATAAATGTACAACCGGCCCACTGATGTGAGTTTTGTTCCCTCACCTGCAGTTTGTCTGACTTTCACAAGCCAAATTCACTAAAGCATCAGAAACAGCAGGGCAGATACATAAAGCAGTACGTTCAAAAAAGAACATGTCCCAGTAAATTACTAAATGTAGGATTTAAGTATTTAAAATGGCATTAGTACATTTTATGGAATTGCATGTTTCTGACATTTACATGTTTTGTCATGTGGATTTACAAAGTGACTTTATAAGCAAAGTTCACTGTAGGATCTACATATGGCACAAATGACTCTAGGTGCTGTAGCTTGAAAGACCATTTGTTTGTGACTGAGACTGCTGAGTCAGTTAAACCACATCTCTCAGGATAATTTTATCTCATTCTTTCAGCCCCTATGGCCACAAGTGAATCCATCACTGTGAATGAGAAGCCAATAATAAAGTTCAAGTAGCTGGTTGATGAGAACAATACATTGTAACACTAATATATGTCATAACCATGGATTAAAATGCCCTCTCTACTACAGGAAATGGATCCCCATGGCGAGAAGCTCGGTGGAGATGGTTACCATGCCAACGGACAGTCAGACTCTGAGGCGTGGTCGGAACCGCTGACGGAAACTGCCGAACCTCGCAGGCCAAGACTGTCATTCAGCAACACGTATGTAGAAATGCAGTGCACACCACACAAACACATATGTATGTACAGTTATGTCCGTAACGCCCTTGACTCTTGTCTAGGTAATTCCCACATTTCCTTTGTTAGGAAACAGCAGGTGTCTCCTCTTTACACAGGAGGTTTCTTGATTATTCCACTGTATAAATGTAATGTGCACTGTTTTTTCATCATTTTGTATCATCGTACAATTTAATTATGCCGTATGAGTCATCTCTGTAAGCCGAGATAACAGAATACATTCAATCAAGACAGAGAAGAGATTTCAACAGTATCCTCATTGCACTGGCCAACCAGGCTGATGGGCCAAACGGTGGCCTGTTAGTGTGTATCGTATGTGGGGGGAAATATCTGTGACTCCCTCACCTCTGGTCCAGTTTAGTTGAAACCTGGAAAGATGATGCATCTTGTCCCAAAGGGTTCCTGCATTATTCATGAAACATTATGTTTTGTTGTTATACTAAGGTGACACCAAGCCTGAGGTGTGCAAGCTAAAAAAAAAAAGAAAATTTTTGTTAAACGATGCGTCAGTGCAAACACGCTATTTATGTTCTTTTGTCATTGTGCAGAGTCCACAGTGCAGACTACTACATGCAGGAGGCCAAGAGACTGAAGCACAAGGCTGATGCTTTGGTAAGATGACTCTTTCTTCGATCTGAACCCAGGTTACACACACACACACACACACAATGCTTGAGCACATGTAGGAGGAAGAAGACAGACAGTTAGACACGCAGAGATGGCCAGAAAATGATTTGAAAACACACGATGTTAACACCTACAGCCTAGACTGTAATTATGTGTGTACTTTAGATGTGTGTGTCGTTGTTCATGTGTGTGTCGCCCAAGAATGAAAATCTTATTTCATATCAAAGACTGCACTGTATAATTTGTGTTATTTATTGCACCATTTGTCTCCAAGGGAACATTGCATTCAAGGACTGATGATGTCTGCAAGATTATACAATATCAAAAGAATTATCTGATCCCCCTCCAAACAATGAAATGAGATTTATTTAACTTGTTATTTGTCTTATGTTTACGCGTTGTTTCCTCAGATTTATCTGGGGATTTGCATCTTAGCAGGAGATTATTCAAAGAGCAGACTGTGCGACTGCCACAATGCTGTTAAGACATTGCTTGTTCTCTCTCCGTCTTATTCATGTCTCTCTCTCTCCCTCTCTCTATCTATCCTCTGTTACATGTCTTTTCATTGTTCTCACATTTCTTCCTTTTCTCTGTCACTCATCTGTCTGTCTGTCATTGTTCTTTCTTCCACTCTGTCTGTAGATGGACAAATTTGGTAAAGCGGTGAACTACGCAGACGGCGCCCTCTCCTTCATAGAGTGCGGAAATGCTATGGAGCGAGATCCGCTAGAGGCCAAATCACCATATACCATGTACTCTGAGACTGTAGAGCTAATCAGGTATGGATAGACAGACAGAAAGGTGACAAGTGAAATGAAGAAAATGGATTGTTTTACAAGTCTCTTGTTTCCTAATGATTTTGTAAAATGAAACTGATAATCAATGTCATTTTTTAAGAAGGTTCCTTCAAAGCATTATGCCAGTTGGTAGTAATTATAGGGAAAATGAATACCATGTTTAATTGGTACATATAAGATTAATTCCAATATATTGGAAGGCCATCAAAATTTGCTGAGAGCAAATGACTCTGTATAAAGACGAATACTAAATCCTAAAACTTAGTCTATGTAGCACAAAAAATACTGTGGAGCCTTTTGAGAATATTTTACGCAAGAGTGAAACAGAAAGAAGAGTTTAAAATATTTTTCAAAGCAGTTGCGCTGAACTGCTGTGAAAAATATGTTCTCATATTTTTATCACCACCTCTTGATGAACTATCCAATAAAATGCATGGTGTTCAGAGCAGCAGGGGTTAATGATAATGTTGCCAAATGTGGGCTGTAGACTTCAACTGTTGCTAATGAGGTTTTGTATCTGCCTGGACAGCTTAGTCATCAGGGCTCTGGCTGACAGGAGGACACAAACTGACTTGTGTACTTTTTCATTACTTTGAGCTCTTTCAAGAAAAAGTCTCTGGAAATCAACTGCTGATACAATCTACCCAACTGTGCACCTATTATATACTGAAATTCCCTGATTCTTTCCTTAAAAACTCAAATAAATGTGTGGGTACTACCCATGTGCACTGTCTCAGAACATTGTCTTCATTTCTGTATAATTACTACCAAACATTTCAGGAGGCACTACTCATGATGCAGATGTAAAATATTAAAATATTATACAACTCTCTTATCAGTCCAACCTTACTGACCTGTTGAAGATGTAGCATATTAGCTTTAATAATACTCTGTGGTTGCATAGGGTCACCTCTCTGCCCACACAAAATGACGAATCAAAACTTGAAGAAAAACTAAACCCTAATTAGCATGAAGCCAGTGCTCTAATCCGAAAAAAACTCTCCAACATTGTATTTTTGCCTTCTTTTTTTTTTTTTTGTCTAGAGAATCACAGACCTGCAGGGTTGCTAATGAGTGTAGTTTAACTAGTGTTGCATTTCAGGATCTCTGCTGTTTTTCAGCCTTTCAGAGCTGCCAATATGTGAAGTCAGAGCAAATAAGACTAACAAATGACTGCTACCTCTGAAAGCAGGCAGGTTGACGGCAGGTTGCTGTAGTGGGTCAGAGTATTTTAACTGAAGGATTCAGGTTCAAGCTCTGCTTGTCTGCACTCATCCATCCATCCTGCTGACGTGTCCTTGAGCAAGACGCTGAATTGTTACCAGCTGCAAGGCTGCAGATTTGTGACTCTGACCTCTTTGACCTCCCTGAGGAGGGAGCAGAAGAAAAGGACAAGAATGTTCCTACAGAGATCTATAAAGGCGTATGCCTCTCCCTTGATTCATCCGTCACTGCTGGGTTTCATTTTGACGGATTAACCACCTCACTAAGCAATCAGACCGGGTCACTGAGGGCAGTAGGCAACATCGTTACAGCTTTTTAATACCTAATCAATAACCAAAGGAGAAATGTATCCTTCCACAGGGGTGTGACCTGTAGCTTGTCATGCCAAAGGGCACTTCAGCAGGTGGATGCTGAAGGAACGAATCACTGATCACTGTTTTATATTCTTTACGTTCTGAAAGAGCAGCTGCTTGGATGATTTCAACCTTGATTTTCTTGAAATTTGCCTTGAGTGAACATATTCTCACTCCGTCAGATGAGTAATGAGGATCTCTCCTATGCAGGTATGCCATGAGGTTGAAGAACTTCACAAGCAATTCAGCCACCATCGCTGAGAAGAAACTCGCTGTCTTGTGGTATGATTCTCTTTTTGTGTGCGTGCGTGCGTGCGTGCTTGTGTGTGTGTGTGTGTGTGTGTGTGCATCTGCCAGGATTTCTGACCAGATACCAAAAATGTTTCCAAATAATTTCTTACTATTTAGATTGTTTATATTTAATTATTAAATTAACAAAAAAAAAAGGTAGATTTTTCTGGTGGCCTGAAGGTTTAGTGTGTCCCCCACTGCTAGGGACTTTGGCTGCATGTCGTACCTTCTCTCTCCCCCCTTGTCTGTAAACATATCTGCAATTCCCTGCAGTACATGAAAGTGGAAAAGTTAAAAACTAACAAATTTCACAAATTTAAACATTTACGGCAATTCATGCAAGCACATTTTCATATTCTTATCCTAAATCTCTCTTACTCCTACCTAAAACTCGTTTGAGGTTTACTTATTAGCTAAATCAAAACCCAGCCAAACTGGCTACATGTGCCGCTCCGTTTGTGGATGCATTTCATTCACAAAAATGTCTCCCAAGAGTAAAAAGATTTTAACACCTGCTGTCTGAAATCAGCAGCCAAAAACATATTAAATTAAGCAGTGGCAGTCGTCAAATAAAGGCAATTTGAAAATCTGATGACGTGTCCTCTGACAGAAATAAAGAGAGAATGGTTTGAAGTTACATAAGTTGTTGAAGTCCCTTTCAGACACAGTTTGCACGATTTGCGCTGTGCCCGCTGTTTCCGCTGTGCTCGCTGCTGGGTTCAGCATACTCTGCGATCAAAGTTCACTCTAGTTGGACGTCTGCAAAACTGCCTGAATGATCAACGATTTGGCTCTCAGACAGATTTCTGTCATGTCTGAAATTTTGGTTGACTGTCTTCTGCAGTCGAGCAGTTCCGTGGTTCTGGCCGTGCAGAAAGGCTGTTTAAAACATGTAGTGTGTGTTAGCACAGTGTACAAGATTAAAAACGTGCCGCGTCTGCCCGGCTTTAGGCAGGAGGCGGGCGGCTCTGACATTCACATAGACGGACAGCAGAATATTGTAGCATGTGATGGTACACTGTTGGGTGCAACGACTTGACAGCATCAACATTGACAGCGACTGTGAGGCTGCTGAGTGAGAAACTCCAAATTCATTCAGATAAAGGCACTTTCATTTCGAAGCCAAACAAGGGTTTTCAATCTGTATGACTCATACCACTCATGAATTTCATTCATACCTAAGAGAAAACTGGTGAGTGGGACAAATCTCTTAAAACACTTGTTCGTGCCACTTAAGAACAAATCTGTTCTTCCTTTTTTGTTCTTGCATGAAGCCCGTTGGATCTGAATGTAGCTACAGGATGAAATACTCTCCATGTGTACGTTTTTAATTTTCCATAAAAAATGTACACATTCTACTAGAATGTAAAGCTCCCTAAGGTTGCCAAAACCCTAAAACCTTTGTCTTTCCTTTCCTTCCAGTGATCCAAAAAACATTACCTGTGCACTCTTTGCAGAATTAATGACTTTACAATTTGCAAGCAAACAGCTGTGGATTTTTAGATAATCATATAATAGGTTCCCACATTTTACCTCATCTTTACTTCACTGAAGTTCTTCTTAATCCACGAGGACTTGAGGACTTTGTGTTTGACATCCGGGTGCATTTTGTGTGGATGACATGAAAATAATATTGAGGATGGAGCTTGAAAGGGAATTTGTACCGAGGTTTCATCTGCCTTCTAATGGTTTTGTTTCCATAGTAACCGCTGTCTGTCTCTGCTGTATCTGAGGATGTTCCATCTGAAGAAAGACCACGCTGTCAAGTACTCGCGGTCGCTCATGGAGTACTTCAAGGTAACACACACACACGCATACACATGGACTTGGACCTTCCCCCCTCTCTCTCTCTCTCTCTCTCATTTTCTCCCTTTGTGGTTGAAAAACATGAAAAGCTAATTACAATCCCTCAAATACATTTCATATTCATTTTCATGGTGCCTGTGCATTAATTTTGCATGACGTTATTAAAATCCATTCTTTCTCTTTGATATTAATGTATTAATTAGCGCCATCAATCATCACAGTGGATTGTTAGGGTTTAATGTGCTTGTTTTGATTAATTATGTTTAGTTTAATTAATTACTGAGGATGTCATTATCACAATGCTGCATTTGCATTGATGGGATTGGATTTCTGGGAAGGAACTGACTGGGGGTTCAGCTGTGTTCGTGTGCGCAGGCAGTGTACATACAGGATGTGTTGACACAGAAGAAAATAACTAAAAACAGTCAGAGCAGCTCATTTTAAAAGAGAAATGGCCCATAATAGTCTAAACCATTCTGTAATGTACTTATCAACATGACACATTAATGTGGATGTTTAGCGCTTGTCACTAAATAACATTACACAAGTTATTGTTGAGAGATTACAAATACTGTATGGGGCAAACTGGTGGCTCAGTGGGGTTCAGCTCATATTAACATTAATATTTAGCTGATGCGTTTGTCTACAATGGTTTGTCATATCACTGAATAAATGAAGAGTGTGAATCCAAAATATATCTTATGTATTTATGGAAAAACAGCAATATATATTAGAGCCTGACCGATATGGCATTGTTTTAGACTGAGACCAATTTTGATATTTGAGGATTTATTTCTTTTCAGAAACACAACAAAAACAAAGATTATCCCTAACATTAGTTATGTGTAGTTATGAGACCTCACAAAGATAACGTGACATAATGCAGTTTAAAAATAAACTTTTTTCTTGTTATAAATAGTACTTTGAACAAAAGTACAGCTGATTGCTGTGGTCTGTTTTGTGGTTCCAAATATGTGTGTTGCCAACAGGTGAGTTGGGGAGTGCATTCTTGTGACAACACTCATAACATGATTGAAGGATCCATCTTCTGTCTCTCCTCTTTTTTAATTGTCATTTATCAGCTATTATAAACACCGATACAAATTTATTTGCAATTAGCTCATATCGGCCAATAATTTCGGCACACAGATTTATCAGTCGGGCTCTAATATATATCAACCTCCCTGTATTAACTTGCTGTGTTATTACAAATTTGTATTTTAAAGTAAATTACTTTTTTGTCACTTAGTAAATAGCTTACTGCAAATAGCATTTTGGGCATTTACAAGCAAAACTTGACCTGACTCTGTTAAACCAATAAAAAAATAGAAAAGTTGGACATTTTGTGAAATTACTCACTTTATTGCTGAGAGTTAGAAGAGAAGACCACTCTCCTATCCTTCTATTAAATATGACACTACAGCTAGCAGGCTGTCAGCATAGCCAAGTATAAAAACTGGAAACAGGTGGAACAAAGCTAACCTGTCTCTATAATATTTTTACATAATTTTTATACTTGGCCTTTTGTAGGGACTAAACAAACAAAATATAAAATGTTAATTACTGAGCTTTAGAGGTGCTGGTAGATTTTTTTACTTTCCCACAGTAATATATTGGTATCTAATACCAATATATTACATATTGTCATTTCTCTTTCTTTCCCATAATAAACATGTTTTAATAAATGTGCCTTTCTGTGAACCAGAATTCAGCCAAGAGTTCCCACCAGGCACCCTCTCCCTGGAGGACCAATGGGAAGTGAGTGTGTACACACACACACACACACACGCATGTACACACATACACACATACACACACACACACACAGTATCGCCCCCCTTCATTCACAAAGATGATTGAGAATTTATAATTCACCAGAGCTCTGCTGCAAAATACCATGCCGCTCCTGACAGCCACTTGCTCAAACAAACCCCTCAGGAAGCAAATAAAAGGATTGATTTGTTGTAGATGTGAGGAGGAGAAGACTGGAGGGGCTGCTGAGTGCCGGGTGAGAAGGAGTGATGGAGGGAGTGATGATAGATGGAGGAGGAGAGGGGCGGAGGAGCTATGGATGTGAAGCTAATGAGTTTGGACAGCTCTGATGCTGCACAACAGCAGGGCTGGAGCTTAGTGTGTGTGTGTGTGTGTGTGTGTGTGTGTGTGTGCATGCGCAGCACTGAATAAGGCACAAGTCGTTGGGTCAGCAAGGGTCAAGGCTACATCACAGACATTACATGACCGACAGAGCCACACACCCAGCTGTGCAAGGCAGGGGAGCAGTTTGTACTAGCATGACTGATGATACTATGCTGAATATAGGACATGCTACTGTACACACGCTCTCACATTTAACACCTTTTATAGCCTGAAGGCCTGAAACGATTACTCCCTCAAAGCCACAACAAGAGACTGTGATTTTGTCTGTCTAATTTCCACCATAATTAATGTGCGGCATTATAAACATTAGCATACTGTGTCACTGTTAATTTAGTCGAGATACACATATAAAAAAATATATATATATATAAATTGGTGTCTTTTACCTGTGCTCTTTTTAGTGTTAGCACTAATCAGTTAATTTATGTTAACAAGGGTTCAAATTACTATGTGTCTTGTGAAAGGTGCGACTGATGAACCCACAGAGAATTATATAGAGCATCTAATGTCTTTCAGCACCTTTCAGTACTTTCACCTTGTTTTCATTTTATGGCCCTGCAAATGTACTGTTTTGTTTCAGTCTCTCATCAGCGTTGTTCTAAACTAAATTGAAGACAGACAAGTTAGCGATTAACTAGTAAACACAAAATTAAGAGCTAGCAGGAGACTGAATAATTGAAGTCACATTTATCAAGTGGCCACAAACATCACTGCATGTCTGCTGGATGTATAAATAGGAAACTGTTTAATAACACGTTCCCCAGAACTGCTTTAAAAGGTAGCTTTTATACAACATTTTCTATTAAACTTGTTGCTTCCTGTGACAAATTTGGTGTTTCTTATTCCTTTCTTAGTCCCACACTTTGACATCTTTTGCCTTCCAATTTGTACTTTGAAGAGGATAAATGTTTTTTTTTGTTTGTTTGTTTTACATCTGTACAATACAGAAGCTGACAAACTTTCTTCAATCTAACCATTTTTATAGTAAAAATAGAAATATATGAAAAATAATATAGTAATGGCTGGTTTATGTTAATGCCATTGAGTTTGTATAACATTTAAAGAGTAACTGCATAAAGTGTAATAATCTTTCCCTGCCAACTGGGGGTGACAACAGACCTTTTCCGCACCCTGTGCAACTTTTAACTTTCAACCCATAGAGGCCAATGCAGCTATGTTTTCCTCCTTCCAAAATTTAATGTGGCGTTATCTTCAAAAAAATTATAATTGAATCTTTAAAAAACTAATAAAGACAGTATTTGGCTGATACATCTTGAATGCCAGTAAGTCAGTGTGGAAAATTTGTAATAACTAAACACTTTGCTGACAGACTTGAATGCACACTTTCCTCATTGTGTATTATCACGTAAATCAAAAGCCCTTCTAGCACACAGAACCTCCAACCTGTTTAATTCTCTTCTCTGTTCCTGGGACTCACTGCCTCCCTGTATTTTCCAGGGTCAATGGGACTCCGTCTCCCCTCTCACTCAGCCCCTCCCCAGCCAGCAGCGGAGGAGGAGGTGGAGGAGCAGGAGGAGGATCTGGAGGTGCCCCAGTCTCGTCAGGAAGTGTGGCTATTCCCCAGCGGATTCACCACATGGCTGCTAGTCACGTTAACATCACCAACAACATCCTGCGGAGCTATGAACACTGGGAGACGGCCGACAGACTGGCCACTTATAGCCAAGGTAGGACTACAACAAACAAATTACTTTACATGACTAGATGTCTTTTCAGATCAACACCCACATACTTTCAGTTGTTTGGCCAGACTTACCTGACTTTTCCGCTTGATGCCCACAGCAGCATCAGAAAAAACACACCAAACTTTATGTTTCATTTCAGCACAAGCAGCAGCAGATATAGTAACCCCCAGTAACTTTGTCTCTCCCCACCCTCATGTAGAGTTCTTCCAGGAGCTGGACTCTGTGATGGAGCCGTTGAGTCAGCAGAGCAGCATGACTGAGCTGGTCCGATACATCAGGCAAGGACTGCACTGGCTCCGCATAGAGGCTCATTTGCTGTAAGGACTGGACCAGAGCCAAAATTTTTACACACAAAAAACGAAATGGGCCTGGGAGCTAGAACTGGGATGACAAGTGAGATGAGACTCAGGACGATGCTTCAGTTCCCACTGGGATCCTTCAAATGACCCGACACCACCCACAGTAATGTAACGGGATAGACTGGGTGGATTAATTGGCCTAAATTCACCTGTAATTAGGACTGCACAGTAGCTAAGTTTGGGAATTTCAACCGTAAATCCAAGAATACAAATGCGGCTGCTGCTGCTTTTCGGGGCAACTGCAGCTGTACATCAGCGCAGGTAGCCTAAATTCCGAAAGGGACAATAGATGTTACAAACCTCCCTGTATCCCTGAATAGAAACCAGAGAAGACAGGATCATTTTCAAAAGGATAGGTGAGAGGCTGATGTGATTAAGGATGCTGAAGGTGGGGAAGGAGCTAAATAGAGGCACATCTGCCCCAGCAGTGACCTAGAAACGTGTCTGTGATTGAGACTAGAATTAAAGCCTCAGGCTAATATTGATGAAGAAGAGGAGCGTCGGCTCAATCAATTAGGTAAGGTCCTCGCTGGTAGAGGAAAGAGGCTCAGCTACAACCACTAGAGCTGAACTTATGAAGGCTCAAGTTAGTCCTCTGCTTGTATTTCAGTCAGAAGCTAGAAGCTGACGAACCCGCCTGTGTTGTGTATTCCTTCGATAATTTAACAAAATGCAATAATTAGTCACAGGGCTTGACAGGGAATAATGCATGTTCAGAACAAAGGGCAGTATGTAATGATGTAATAATACAGGAGAGCAGAACAGCTGGTCACAGGCATTTTGAAGAGGAAACATATTTGCGTAGGTACAACTATAGCTAAATAGCTAGAAGTATAGAAACACAGGCTGCTCTTCTTCTTCTGTTGTAATTCTGGCAGAGTAGCTGCTCAAAGGAAGTAAGAAGTAAAGATCTTAAGGGTTATAACTTTGAATTAGCAACTTCATTATATAAATTAGATTAGCTTCTTATTCTATATTATCGGGTTAACCTCATGAAATCAGATTATTCAAGTTTATTCGAATGTCCTCGCCTACCTCTAAACAGGGCCAGTTACTGTGTGACATTTTTCTATACTCTGCCAATATGATTCCTGAGTTTGAGCGCCAATACCAAAACAAAGATTAAGAAATAGAAAGATTTTTCTACAAAACCCTTTTCAGCAAAATAGGAATTTTGTCTTAAACTGGCAACATTTTTATTTAAATTATAAACTATCAATCGATGAATAAGTTAACAAGATAATGAAATTGACAGTTGATGCCAGCTTTTCATACTTGACAGTCAGCAACGGACACATTTTGGTCTAAAAAGGTAGTGCGGTTTGACACCCAGTCCTACCTCTTAATGTAGCCACTCCTGGTGTAGGCAGGTGACGTCAAGATAGCCTCCGTTTGTGCAGTTGCCATCAAGCAACTCACATGTGACCTGGATCAGTGGTTTGTTTATACTAAACTCAGATTTGGAGCCTCTACAACTGAATCAAGATAACCCTAATATTAAGATGTGCCTAACCAGACTTTGAAGTTGCAGTCTGTGGGGTTAACAGCTCAACAGAAAAAGCTTTCAGTTCTCTGGTCCTACAAATGAGGGCTTTCTTCCAATCAAAAAAAAGCATCTGTCTGGTTCTTCTCTTACTGGTTATGGGCTTTTGTGAAATTCCACTCAGTTCTATTTCCCATAGTAACCCACCCACTAAGGTGTCAGACACTTACGGGGAGGTGACTACAAGATTCAGTATGATTTGGCTCTAGTTAAGCCCCCACCCACGTGCAGATCAAGTACTCAGGGTGAAAATCTCACATCGGCTATTTCGCCCCAGATGTAAAAAAAAATCTGTGCAACAGCAGCGACTTTGTGCGACACTTAATGAGATCAGATCACCTGCTGGAAATCTTGTAGTCATTTTACCAACATTTGTCGTGTTGTGTTGTTAGTGTGTATACGTGTACAGCTGATTGTCAAGTCTATTTAAAGCATTACCTGGCTGGACAATAATGATGTTTGTGTAACATAATGTACAGACTGTGATCCTGTTTGTTTTTTAGTGTCTTGTGAATGATTCAATGTGAATGGATGAGGGAGTGAAACACGAAAATAGGGTATCTATATGTGTGTGTGTGTGTGTGTGTGTGTGTGTGTGTGTGTGTGTGTGTGTGTGTCTGTGTGTATGACTGTGGGTGTCCATGCACAGGCTATGGCTGCATTTACACAGCACCAAACATAATCAGATTTTTAAACCTTTGTGGTACAAAAAAACAAAAGGAGACCCTCCTGTTTTCTCGTGGCCTCACTTCTGTTTTCACATGTGCTATAAAGACTTAAAATCTGGATTTTTTTTTCATGGTCTCTGTAAATCCAGCACATCAAGCATGAGTTTTTAAGTTTTGGATCATTTGACCATCGCTGAATGTGTATGGAAGACAATGCGGATGTGAAAAGTAATTTTCACTTTGACAAAAAAAGAAACTCAAGTGCCTCTATTTGTGTCCAGTGGGAATTGCTCTATTTATTTAAGGACAAAGACTTAATCGAAATGATTTTCCATACCATATTGGTATAAATATGAGATTGTTTTTCGTAAAATCAAATGTTTCCACAAGCTTTTTACTGGCGTTTATGATGACACCAGAGTTTGGCTTTAAGAAAAATGTGTGATTTTAACGTGTCAAATTTGCATTAGTCGCTGTTTTTTTTTTTTCTTGATTATTTGAGCAAGTATGGGTTTGTCTGAAATGCCTGAAAAATGTAAACCATCGCATGCAATAAAGGATAGCTTCAGACCAAGAACTACTTGTGTCCATTTTGAAAAAAAAAGACAAAAAAGTCAGCGTATTTCTTGTCACATACTCATTTACAGTGTGAATGTTCTACATCACCTGAGAATACAGAGCCACTTTAAATGCACAACACTAAAGTTAACAGTCTGATGGAAGTAATTACATTCAACAACACCAAGTCATTTAATAGATTTTAGGTAATACTGTTAATTGTCTTTCTTGCAGAGGGTAAGATTGATACCGCTCTCACGTCTGTACATTAAATATGAAGCCAGCAGCTAGTTAGCTTAGCTTAGCAGAAAGACTGGAAATAGGCCTGGTTTTGTCCAAAGGTTACAGAATCCACCTGCTAGCACCCCTAAAGCTCACTAATTAACTAAATGTATCTAGTTTGTTTATGGGCTGGATTTTTTCTTTTTTTGTTTTTTTACAATATGTTAAATGTCTGTAAGAAGACAATCAAAATATTAAAATAACCTTTTTGTGCATGGTGTAAGTCAAAAAGTAATGTAGATGATAGCTGCTACATTAACTGCACACTGGTCTGACAACTTGGTTTTTGTTTGCAGACGAGGTGTCCTCTCTTGTAGCAGTGTACGGATTCCACTTTGTGCAGTGTGCCCCTACCTGCTGGGTAGCTAACGCTGGTAGAAGCATTAATCACTGTAGTAGTCAGTAGCTCTATGGGATAACCTGTGTTTTTTGAATATGCAGGTTTTTTATTATTCTTGCTCACCTATCTTACACATACAGTTCTAAAATATGATGTTTCAGTAGTTTTTTTTCTGCATAATATGATTCAAGTCGTCAATTGTTCCTAAGCTTAAAAAAAATGTAGATGCTATTTTGGGGGGGGGTTGTATGGACTAAAAAACAAGATATACCATGCTAATGACTGTGCTTTTATTACCTTAGGACAAAGCCAAGCTAGCCAATTTGTTGTGCTAAGCTAAGCTAACTGGCTGCTGAGTCTAGCTTCATATTTCATGGACAGACTTAAGAGTGGTAACTCTGATCAAGAAAGTGAATATGTTCGGTTCCCAAGATGTCAAACTATTCCTTTGAAATGGACCCATGGTTCTTCATCTGAAAGCCTGAAAAAATTTTTTTAATTATTATTTGAGGTCATGAAGCCAAATTAGGAGTGTCCCCCAATGAGCCAATAAACTTCTACAACAGCCAACAAAGAAACCCACAAACTGTTTTCTGTTAGACCTCAGCTGTTACAAGTCAATAGTTGATCCAGTGTTGCTCAGTCCATTTCAATGATGTTCGATGTTGTTTTGTTTTATGGTGAAACAGTGATGTTACTATATGGTTATTGTTAATTTCACACAATGGTCTTTATTTTTATTATATGCAGCGGTACAATATACTTATACAATAATATGCTGTAAAATGTCAAAAACATTGCATTGGTGACATCACGGGAAGCCTCGGTTTCATCCCACTATGCTACATGTCACATGATGACTATGGTAAATGTTGAATTCATGCAACAGTTCATTTGACTATATGCAATGTCAATATGTCGATATATTCTGAAACATTTCGGAGACAGGCTGCCTCAGCATGGCCTTTTATTCTGCTGACATCTTGTTAAATATCTCATTAGCTCCTGTTACATTATCACAGTTGTCAACTTGTTTATCAAAAGCAGCAGTGACAGAAACAGCGTCGCTGCTGTTGTGATTACAATAGAGAGTGAAACAGACTGATTTATTTTTTACAACAGATGGTTAAAAGCCTATAATACACTGATAATCTCTCCAGTAGTGATGAGTGTCTCTAATATTTGTTTGTCATTTCAGAAAATCACAGATACACTTTGATTGCTTAGGAAATTGCCAAAACTGCCTCATACAGTAAATGAACTAGCAGTATTTATAAAGATAATACTTTTTTTTCTTCTCAAATTCCTATAATCTACCAGAAAGCTGCTTTTTCTCTTGTTTTTTTTTCCATTTGATTGTCCTCAGTTGTACTGTCAGTGTGAGAAACAAGTATTTGAAAGAGATCAGTCTCTCTTCATCTGATGAATAATCATTTGTTGTAGTCACTGGAGGAGACATCAATACACTCTCACTACTGCACAGGTCAGTTCAAGAAAATAAATGCTAAACTGTTACCATAGACTGTAGCATGTTACATCATGTTTTACAATTTATGCTTAATTACTAAGTAGTAACCAGTATATACGTCGCTTCAATTCCTTCCTAAAATCAATCATATTGTGGGATAATTCAGCTGTGACAGAATACACCTCTTTGGCAAATAAGTTCAAAAAACAGTTTACTGGATTTGTGTTGATTTATTGCGCAGTACAATACCATGTATACACTTTTTCCCCCAAGAGTCAGACAGCAGAATCAATACCACCCTCATGTCTGTGCATTAAGTAAGGAACTATTAATAAGCCTAGCTTAGCATAAAGACTGGAAGCAAGGGGAAACAGCTAGCCTGCCCCTCTCTAAAGTAAAGAAAGCTGTGTAGCACCTCTAGAAGTGCTGCTAGGTAGACTGTTGGACTTTGGTCCTCCAGTCTTTATGCTAAGCTAGGATAATTGTCTCAGAGCTCTATCTTCGTACACACACAGATGAAAATGGTATAGAACTTCACATCTAAGTTTTGGAAGGAAAGCAAATATAAAGAAGCGTATTTCCCGAAATGTCACCCAGTTAAACGGGCAGTTTGTAGGCGGTTGACATGAAGTTGATACTATATTAGGGTAATATAGTAGTAAACACAACCTACCAAACCTACAAGTCATCTAATTAAAAATCTATCAGTAAGTTAATCAAGGAGCTCATTTGTTAACTAACAAGACAATATGTTTGTTTGCTATCAATTTTACAGTACATAGATAAACTTTTAAAAAAACAGAAATATTCTCTTTGAAACCATGTTAACCTCTGCCAATGTTGCTTTGATGGTTTCACTCTCCCATGTGCAGTTATTTTGTAATACAGGAGCTATTCTTGTATCTTTCCTCGGACAATAATCATGCAGTGATTGAAAATGGCCCAGGTGAAAACAACCCATAAAACTGGATGTTCAAAAACGGTCCAGTTCAGTTACCTCCACAACTTAAGATTTTGTCCAAACTCATCTTTAAAGGTGCAAAATGTAGCGGTTTTTAAAGTAAACCATGTCGATACCAGTAGACCTTATTTTTGGTGATGATCTACTTTGGTTGTTGCAGTTACACAGAATCCAAATTCATATGGCATTCATTGATGTTGAAATGCCAGACAGCACCTTTAAAGAATGCTAAAATGTGCATATTTTAAGCTAGACATTGGTGGGTTTGAGACGGGCGGCAACACGGTGCCTCGGATTCAGCCTGACAAATCTCTGTGGTTCTGATGTACATCACTGGCTAAATGCAACATTGTAAAGATTTCTACAAAATAACACCTGAGAACACATCTGTCCAACATGGATCGCATTGTATTTTTAAATGTGTTGCACAACTTCAGCTGTTTTTCTGTTTCTATCAGTGCTATCTTTTGGCCTTTTATATGGTTCTTTTTATAATGAAGTTGTTCTATGTGATGATCAGAAGTTGTGATGCAGTTCCATTGTTTTTAAATATTTAATGTCTCTAAAATATGGATTAAAATCTGTTTGAACCAGTGGTCCTGCTGTTCTCGTGGTCTTAATTGAGTCTGCAATGCAATATTTTACAGAGCTGTGTATAGCTTTTGTGAAGATTTGGACTCAAAATGAAGTTTTGCAAACCCATCATGTTTTCATATTCGCTGCAAGTAAACATAAAACCTTACTTTCATGTTGCATTATAAAGATTCCTATTCAGTAAATGAAACAAGAGAAAGCAAAAAGAAATAACCAAAGTTCCCAACGTATTAAAATCAAAACATAAACACCATAATGCACTCTTGCAATAATTGATTAATAAAATCTCTCCAACTTTACACTCAACAAGATTCTTTTATAAATAAGACACCAGCCTTTGAGAGGGCTTGATGTATAACATTATAAGTGCTAAGCTTGTCTTCTTATTAGTGCTAATGGACTCTTATTTCTACATCATAACAACTATTAGCCTACTTCACCATGCATGATTAATTCATTGAATATAGCCGCACATTAGAATTCAAGAGGGAGGAATACGGCCGTTTGTCTTCAGAAAGTAAACGAGGAGATGGAAAAGAGCTAGGTGGACTTCAGAGTGTGAGAGAAATGAGAAGAATAAAGATGGAGGGAAAACAAGGTGTCTTAGAGTGAGCATTTTCTGGGAGACATAAATCCCATCTCGTTAAGTATTTCCCTAAATGAGTAAGGAGGTGGAAAGCCTATTTGCAGACATACTAGATGACGCGTGTGTGTGTGTGTGTGTGTGTGTGTGTGTGTGTGTGTGTGTGTGTGTGTGTGTGTGTGTGTGTGTGTGTCTCCTTGGTGTAGAGCCAACACACTGACAGCTGAGATTTATAGGTTTAATTGTCATAGGTAACCATGCAGTCAAATAAGCTCTCTGATATATGGTTTAGCATCACACACACACCCAAAACACACATCCACAGAGACTAAAATGTATAGGGACACACACACATATGTTGCAGCAATGAGTGTCCATTAGCCCCAGTAGGAAATCTGACCCGAGTAGACTGTAATGCTGCAGCTTAAACCATGAATATGCGCAACTATAGCTGAAGATCACGATGACTTTAACATATCACTGCTGTTTAATAAGTGTCCAATTATTGCATCTCCACATCCACTCAATGGCTCAGCTAAAACATACTGGATTTATTCTTTGTGACGTTTCAAAAGTGTGTTTAGGCAGCGGGATAGAAGCACAGCTAATGTAGCATGAGCACTAGAGCCTCGTGCACACTGCCGTTATTGACTTTTACATGTGGCATGGCGCTGTGATCAAGGCAGCCAATGTGCTAGTTTCCCCCTGTGTGAGCAGTCTGGTCCCAACACGCTGACAGAGTTTTAAAATGGTGAAAAGCTCATTATCTAGTCCCATGTTATATTCCTATAGACTATGTGAATAAAAAACTCTTTAAATAAAAGCATCTGGTTGTGAAGCGGTGAGTCGATTTGAATTCAAGGCTGGAGTCAGAATTGTAACATCCGATGCTGGATGTGAACGGGACTCTCAAATGCAAGCAAAAAGTGAATATTACAGCAGATAAAAAAGGACTCTGCTTTACACCTCATTATGACAAGTCAATTTAATGTGTAATATAATGTAAGTATGAAGTCTCTGTGTAAACCGGCAGTCACATTGTTGTTCACCTGCCAGGTGTACCCCACTTCTTGATCAATGTGAGCTGGGTTGGGCTCTAGGCTCGCTGTCGCATAAACGCCCCAGACTCCTTAAGGATAAGTTGGTAAGGACAACATGATACATTCATTGTGTCTCATCTTAAGTTTAATAAAACCACGCAAACAAGTAATTGTCCATTTAGTTGCCAATATAGGCTACCAGCTTACGGTTTTGTGTAGTAACTTAAGTTTTGTGCTTTGTGATGTAACAAGATACGAGTGATATGCTGATTTTCTTTCTGTTTTTCTTGGATTGGAGTGTGTGGAGATATATGGGTAGAGAAAGAGGTACAACATGCACCAAGGTCCCTGGTTGGAATCAAAGTGGGGATGAGGCACTTATAAGGTATTCGCTGTAAACATTTGGTTATAACAAAAAAAGAAACAACAGTAAAAGTATAAAGAATGAGAGAAATGTGTCATTATAAGATGAATAAGATCTTATTGTAATGTGAAAAGGATTGTGTTAAAACAATCCATTTTTGTTATAGTAAGAAACTGAACAAATACATTTATCATGGTGACAGCAATATGCTGCTATAGAATATACAGAACAGTATACTGATCCTAAACACAAAGCAAGTCAGCATTTTCCATGGGATACAGAAAGCAACAACATAAAGTTGTCCTATTTCCCTGACACTAACAGTAGCTAGAGGCTCTTCAAATAAATGGATGATAAACAGAAAGAAATAAATGACCACAGACTTTGTTGATGAGCTCATGAAGTCAAATGTATGAAAAAACCTGTTATAATTACTTATAAGTGTTTGTGATGCCCTGCATATCTACAATATCCTCCTACATCTCAGGGTGTGTTGGTTCTTCATAAGTCCAGACCAGGTCTGGACTTATTTAGGCACATGTGGTTTTCATACTTTAGAGGCAAACACATAAAAACCTTTGTCAACCTTTCTTTTATGTTTAGATACACTTTGGAGCGCCGCAGTGAATCAGACCAGGCCGTGGCCAGGATTGAGAAACTCTGATGTCATGACTCCTTCCAAGGTAATGATAACAGTGTGCTGCTGGTTACCACTGAAGTGATTATGTTGAGCACTTAAATGCAGTCTGGTAAACTAAAGATGTGAAAGAAGCTCATTTTTATGCTCCTTTTTTTATTTTGCAGCCTTGTAAAGAAAGTCTAAAATAAAAAAGGACATTAGAAAATTCAAAGCTTTTAAATTCAAAACATGTGGGGGACCTTAGGAAATTGTCTTGCAGGCTAGTAGTTTGAGACCCCTGATCTAGAGACAACAAAACATAATTTCTGCCTTCTTGCCACAAGCACAAAAGCCTAAAAGAACAACCGAACACTTTTGTATTTAAAATAGTTTTTTCCTGATGATTATGTTTTAATCTCATTCTCCAAACAGTACCCAGTTATTGCTATAATTGACATTGAACTGAAAATGCATTTTAGCCCATTTTCAAAACCACAGGTTTCCCTTACCTGCTACCACCAGAGTTGATTACATCCTTTCAACTTCATTAATAGAAACCCACTCAGAAAATTAATTCCCTCTGTCTCATTGTGCAGAGTGGCAATTTTAATAGATTTCCTCTCATTCTCTGCCTTGTGTTTAAAACTTCATCATCCATTAGCTATACCCCGCTTACCCTTCACTGGGGCCAATCCCAGCAGACACTGGGTGAGAGGCGGCGTCCACCCAGGACAGGTTGCCAGTCAGTAAAGGGGCTGTCACAAAGAGGCAGATAACCACTGATCCTCACATTCACACCAACAGGCAATTTGGAGTTGCCAAAGAACCTAACCTACATGTCTTTAGTGAGAACACCTAAACTCCGCACAGAAACCTGCTGTCCAGCAGGTTGGTGAACGTCCCTGCTGTGAGGCGACAGTGCTAACCACTGCAAAAGTCAAGTTAAAACAGCTTTCTATTCAGCTCCTCGGTTTACAGCTTCAGAGGGGCTAACAAGGGCAGAGCTCGTCAGCTCTAATTGAATGACTCCTGATTAAACTGGCTTCACAGCCAACATATCACATCTTGTCTGGCTTCTAATTGGCTGCTTCCTTGATGCTCCACGTGCCCTGCAGATACAGATGTCTACATTGTGGGTCAGAGCGGACAGTAGTGCAGAGAAGAACAGGCATGTTTAAAGAGATAAAACACAGTGGCTTAATACAGAGTACAAAAAGACACAATAGCCTGCTAATAAAGGAGATGCATATTAAGCATTTTGTGGTATCAAATTTCCAACATGTTCCCACTGTCAGGGGTCAAAACAGAAGGCAAACTGCCCAAGTAGGCAACTGTTTCCAAGTCTCTCTGCTTTCACTGGCGTCATGTCCAGCGGAAGGAGGCAGATATTTTAAGTAAAAATGCTCGCTTGCGTACACTAGCTAAAAAACTTCACAGCACCTATTAAGAATTATTCAGCAATTTGGGAAAGTTGCTTACTTAATTCATCTTCTTGTTAATTTGTTGTATCCATTTTTCATGTTTACAGGTCCTGTGGAGTTCTACTGAATATGTATAAAGCCTTTTTTAGCTCCAGAGGGAGCTGCACGATGTCTAGCAAATGTCCTCATGTGATGTCCCTTGAGTCTGTGTCAGTTGGGGCTGAAAACTACAAGTTTACATTAGCAGCTAGTAGCTGCTCCAGCTGAACTGTCAGCTGTCAACTTGCATTGTGGGCAATATAGACAGCAGGTTTTGACAAGAAAAAGAAGGATATTTGAAATGAAAGAGATGATATCTCTGGTTCTGCTGCTTCAATTTAGATTTTGTTTTAACTGCCCATTGTGAGTCTGAAAATATTGTAGGGGTGCAACAATAAATTGGTGTTCAGCTTAAGTGTTACCCATGAAGATTATATATTTTACTGTGTATTTCTTCTGTAAATAGTTTCTCACTAGCACTTTGAGGAAATAGCCATTAAAATATTTTGCACTTTTATGAGCTCCTCTACTAGCTTGTGCTATCGTTGGCAGGTTTAGTACTCCAGATACTATGTAAAAGTAAAGCACGTACAAGAAATGGCTCAGAAATAAGCACTGCAGGAGCATACACTTAACAACTGAATACAGCTGCTATTATAGACCTTTACTCACAGTATACATGTTGTAATATCAACTAATAGTAATTATGGCTGCATTCCATTTAGGTGTTCCAGTGTAGGGGCCTGTCATTATATAAGCTGATGTGGCTTACTAGGACAATTATTATCTATACAATCGAACATAACAGCTAATTAATACAGATCCATTTTTGAAGCTCAAATATAGCATAAAACTAAAATCATGTTTAAAGGTTTGTTTTTAACATCAATATTCCAACATTTATTCTGTCACAAACCTCATCACACTGTGGACTAATTCACTAGCCATTCTGTGTCTGTTTAAAAACCATATTCTTCATTTCTCTATATCAACTATGACATTGTGCTACAGGTTGCAATGGGACTTAATGTTCCAGTTATGTTCAGATTCAAATGCAGACCATTGTACCTCAGTCCATTATTGTAAAGAAGCTTACTGACTGTAAAATCTCATATGAAGCTACTACCTATGGTATTCTGTAACTTTCTTACAACATCTCTACAATGTAAATATTGGCCAAATAAAATACTGTAAGCAGCTTAGTAGCCTCACAAGGAGGAGACAGCCGAGTATACAAAATTAATTTTGAAGAGCATTTCTGGTGAAAAACAGCTCCTCTGAGAAAATACTCTGGAGACACTTTTTCAAGTACACTACAGTGTTGACTATTCATCCACACACAATAAACACACACACCCCCTTGAGACAAGCCCCAGTCATGATGCAGCTGAGCTAAGCGGTTTTTACACACATACACACACTCTCCTCTTTCTAACGTAATTGCGTATGTCGCCAACGTTAACAGAAAGACAGTGTGACCTGCCACAATATGAGCCCATAACAGTAATGCGATTACTAGTGTATGAAACATAATGATAGACAATGAGAGTAAGACAAATACAGAGTGGATTGGAGACAAGGAGCAGGTAAGAGAGAGAGGGGGAGAAAATGAGAGGGCAGCTGCAGAGGAACAGAGGGAAAGAACAGCAGGTACACAGTAGGTAATGTAATTGCTATTAGATCAATTTAATCATGGTCAGAGATCACTGCTTGTGATGATAAATATTGATCCAATAAAACTACTGAGGCAGAAATATGAGCTGACATGAATACAGGCAGAGTAGAAGAGAGCCGTTAGAGCTGCACTCAGACCTCCATTTCAAAACATGACAATGACAATCAAGCTGAAAAAGCTCTGATAAACCCACTGTCCACCACCTGCCTAGCACCAAGCAGCAGACAGACAAAGTTTGCAACTGTCCGGTGAACGTAGCATTAAGTGGCTACAGAGCCTATTTCGCTCAGGTGGTGGCTGGTGGAGACCAAAAACAGAGCTAAAAGTGAATATTGGACTTACTTTCACCAGGTAGACAGGAACACAACCCTAAATGAATACCAACGTTGCTCTGCTGGTGTAAATAAGAAACTTTCTGGATGTGTGAACAGGTAACAGTTTGCTATGCTAACAAGTTTGCTATGTCAATTTAAGGTGCCTTGTGATTTTGACTGTTCCTGAAAAAAATATAACATAATTTATATATAATCCGTTTAATAAATATAACATGATTTCATAGCATGTGATGCAAAAATGATTGATATTGGAATATTGTGTTCTTGTGTACTGTAAATTTTGCTGATACTTTGCAAATGCTTTTAATCATTAACTATCCATTATACAGTTACAAAGTTACAAAAAGATCATAAAGAAATGTACGACTGCAACTGATGAGCCAATATGAATGTTGATGTGTTCAAAAGACAGGAAGATAAATGGAATGAAAAGAGGAGAAGAAATTATTAGAAAAGGTGAAATTGGCAGGGGAGAGATGTCAAGTGCTTCCCTGGTCTTTTGGATATTTTTGACTTTTCATTTGTAGCATACAGACTTCACTTCAAGCTGAGTTCTACACATGGTTCTGCATGATTGCCTGGAAATTGAAAACGGTAAAAAAAAACAAAAAAAACTAAAGGCATGAGACTGAATTCATGCTATATTTCAAAATGCAATTACAAGGCTTTTAACCGTTTGTGTTGTCCGGAGAGATTGACTCTGTGGAATCGTGCACGAATTAGGAAAGGTTCAGTTCGGTCCCAATTCTTCCAGTGCCAGAGAGCGAGGCGCCTGCATGGAGGGAAATGACAGAGTAAGGAAGGACAGAAAACTGGAGAAGTCCCTGAGGAGCTCCCTCACTACTCTGCAGCTTTACAATAACAGAGTGATGGGGTGTGTACGTACAGGCAGCAAAGTGTACAGGACGCACACACGCTGGCACACACAAAAATACAGACACAAACAAACTAGAGGAGGTTGTGATCATAAGTTACCAAAAAAGTCAGTCAACTTTTGCTGGCAAATTCTTAGAAACCAATCGAAACAGACATTAATATATTAACAGTGTGTCCTTGCAAAGCTAGAGATTTGAATTATTTCTGCAGCATTTATTTTTTATTTTCCCCTCAGAAAACTGAAGCTCAGACTCCAAGCTGCTCTGACGCAACCAAACTCAAGGATAAGCTAATTTTTTACCACTGTCAGTGTGTGTATGGACAGTTTAAATTATATCCACTTTCCATTATGTTAAATGTGTTACATGACACACGGACACCTGCTAACAGCACAAATGCAATGAGGTCAAGAGAGGCAGAAATACAAAAATTAGCTAATTCCATCTTAAGACATCGTCAACATCCCAACATGATAAAACGACATGATTCATCTATATCCCATTAACATGAAGCCAGTGCAGCCTACAATAAAAGTTGACAGACCACATCCCCTCGATTCATTGTTGGCCCTGGAATTCAAGCTGAAATTGCTTTCTTCTAAATTGCCACAGCACAAAATGTTCATGCTTGGAACAGCAGTAAAACGTAGCAACACTCCGTTTCATTTGCATTGAATTATTATGGGTGCTTGTTACTCACTTCATTTTGGGTCCACAAATTGATCTGAACTGGCTGTTTACAAGGAGGGAGGTAAATAGCTGCTAGTGACATCTTGTGTAAATAGAAATGTCATATTGTTTAACACTACAGTACAAAACTGAGCAAGTCCCTTTTAGCTGTTGTACTTTCAGGTGAATGGCCTCCACTTGAAGCAGACTGGATGATCAATAGTATACCCAAGAGCACTTATTCCAAAAAGAGAAACTGGTGTTGCTATTAGCCAAAAGGAGTAATTCTTCAGGTTTCCTCAATATTCCCTAAGATGAAAAGACATATTAGCAGAAAACGGATTGTAAAATGTGATGTAAGGATTTTCACAGAGGAGCCAGTACGGTCACAGCCAATCAGACGTGTCTTTCAGGAGTCCATGCTTCTAAGTAAAGTTGTCTGACAAAAAGGCTGCCTGGTTCAGCTGCTCAGATGTGTGTTCTTTGGGAGTTAGATGTGTCACATTTAGGGAAATATGCTATTTGATTTGCCCCCAGAGTCACATTAGAGGACCTATACCACACTCATGTCTGTATGCTAAATATGAGCCAGCTAGCAATTAGCTTAGCATAAAGACTGGAAGCAGAGAGAAACTGCTAGCCTGGGTCTAGTAACACTTATAAGTAACTCCAGTCAGAACCCCTTAATATTACTTATTAACATGTTTTAGCTCTGTTTGTACAAGTTGTTGACAAGCTGTGGTTTTATGGGGGGTTAAGTGCTGGAACATTCTGCCCGGGCGCACTCAGGTCTTGGAAACTTAAACTTGTCATTTCTGCTGACAGTCAGTTCTGCACACATTAAACAAAGATAAAAAAGTTCAAGCTTTAAATGGCTAGGCCAGCTCTTTCCCCCTGCTTCTAGTCTTAATGCTAAACCAAGCGCCTGCTAGCTAGAAGGCTAGCCTCATGAGAGCAGCACCGAGCTGCTCATCTTCCTCTCCGATAGAAAGCAAATGAGCTGATTTCCCCAAATATCTTATTGTTCTCTGAACTGCTGTAGATTATCAAAAACCTGGCTGCTAATATTGGAGTCATGTAAAATCAGATGGACACTTCTCACAAGTGATTAATCAAGTTTACACTGGTGTCATTCGCAGGTGTGAAACATAACCTGTGATAACGATAACAGTGGAAATAAAAAAAAAACTAAAACATAAATTTCTTTAAAATGTCTTAAACAGTACACGTGCTTTCTTCTTCACTTTGCTCATGTGCTGGACTCAGAGCTGTCTGCCAATGACTTCTTAACAAGGAACACGAGCATGAAAGACTAACAGTGATACCACATAATACTGAATCAAGTATGCATTATATAAGAAATACTCAAGGCATTCTCCCTTTCTAAAGTTTTTCCATCCATCCATCTTCCCTTTGTCCTCGTCACTGTCCGTCCATCTGTTGTGTTTTATTCTCGTCATCACGCCTTCCTTCTACTTGTTTTCATCCCTGCTGTGAGGTAGAGGAGCTGCAGCCTCATTCGCATCTGCAGACTCTCAGTCTGGATGACAACCACAAGTCAGAAAAGAAGTAAACAAGTAAATGAATGAATAGTTGAGTAGAAAATTGGTATATTCCTAAAATGAATTCAAGCTTACGTGAGGCAGGCTGGCTATCTTTGTCATTATCACACTGGGGTCAGAGTCACTATAGATGTTCTTGTCCTGAGCAGGATCGTCTGCTAACATGTACAACTCCCCAGCATGGACATCGGACACATTAACCTAGATGGATGATTGACAAATATAATCTGTTACTGTCATGGAAAATGTCTCCAACATATTGTGCCAGACAAGATGGATGGATCCATCACACACACACACACACACAGAAGATAAGAGAGGTATGTAATACACCAACCTGAAATGTTTTAGGGTTGAATCCCAGCCAGAGAGTGTATCGATAGTCCCAGGAGCGTAGCGAGTACCCCATGACCTTTATGTCATTAAGGTCAGGGAGGTCAGAGTTCACCTAATAGAAGAACATTGAACTATAAAAGTATCTTAAAACTGTAAAATGCTTTCTGCAGTGCTGTAGATCTACAGCTGCCAACTCATCCTGCGAGCCAGCCAATGAGCTGATGCCAGGCTGCCAAACTGCTCCGTACAGAAATTAACCTACAGCAGGTGCACCACTCATCTGGATGTGTTCATCCAGAGACCTTGCAGCAGGCAGCAATGAGCCAAGCACACAATGCAGAGGGTCAAAGAGCGGCAGTCGTGTAAAGAGGACTTTCCCGACCTTCACAGATTTTGTCATTTTAAATGCAACTAGAAAAACCATTCATTAAAAGCAACAGTGTGATATATGTATTAAACAAATATACCTGCTAGCTGGCAGAAAACTCACAATTTAAACTTTAGACAGCTCATGAAAGCCTTTTCATTTGCTTTTCTAAACACTCCCGTCTCAGGTACCTGTGGTGTATCAGCAGGTCTAGGGTACTGGCTAAAAGCTATGGCTTCCTCTTCAACTCCTGTTTCTCGGTGCCAGAAGGTGTAGGCCAGGTTCTCTCCTTCTGTACACAACTCCTCCTGAAAGCAAGAAAACAGGCCCAAGAGTGAAGGAAAGGAATGTCAGAGTCATTTAGATCACATTCATCTCAGGCGTGTCAGGGCCCGTTTATTGGTGTTTACATCTCGATTCATTTTGGTTGACAATCTCAAGACAACGGCATTGGAACAGACGGTACAAAGACGGCTGAAAGGTCTCAGTTCCGTTCTTGCAGTGTGATTTGTAAAAAATACAAAAAAATGACATGAAAACATGGTTTCAACTAAAGACCAAAGGAAGTTGATTACAGAATATCAAGGCGTTCAGTCAGTGTTACAGAGTATTACATTTAGAGTCAGACTTTTAATACCTGAATTAGCCCTTTTGTTGTGTCACATATTTGTAACAGTTTGTTAACAAGGTAAAGCAAACCAATGTTGTGAAGCTCTTTTTGAAATGAGCCCTGTTGCCAGCCATTTGATGCGTAATACTTTTCACTAAGTGGAAGATACATCTGTCAGAAATTAGCAAAGTATTGAACAAATTAAAAGTGTTTTGATGGCGCCAGATGAAAAGTCAGAGGATCAGAAGTCATTATGACTCATCCTCTAGGCACCATTTTATAGCAATCAATCCAACAGTTGCGGTCATATTTCAGACTGGACCAAAGAGGGTGGACCAACCAACAGACCGACTGACAATTGCCTTCCTTACAGCCATGTCACCTCTGCCAATGAATGAGTAAACTTTGCTTATAAGTATGATCATAGCTTGAGGTGCATAGCTTAAGTGAAAACTACTAGATACAATAATTGGATTTAACTTTCATCCATTCATACCCGAAAAGAAACATCAGGACAAGGTTCAGGAGCTTTGAGGCCGGCCATGTAAGAGACGGTAGGAAAAACATCTACCAGCTCCACGATGTTTCTTATAAGTTGGTCATCTGGAAGAGAGAGTGGTCAGCCAATTAGAGAAAGTCTTATATAGCCACTAAAATTTATAAGAAGCTCTGCTCTGAAATTTCATCATCATTGCAACATTTGCACTTGGAGTGAAAACTGTCCGAGGTAAAATATCAAAGTGGATCCCTGTCTAAATACGTTTGGGAGCTCTATATCAAAGACTTCATTAAAGCCGAGTTGGCATAATAATACATGTTTTAACAAGGTTTATTTGAGGAATTAGGACCAAAAATGAGACTTCAGTTCCCTTTTCTGACTTGAACTGCAAGGTGCTATTAAATGATAAAAGAATAGTTTGTTCTTCATGTCTTACTCTTAAAGCTGAACTCTGACTGGGCGAGGACATCAATAAAGGGAAATGTAGACTCTCCCAGCCGATCACGTGCGAGTGAGGTGAAGCCAGGAACGTAGAAGATGAGAGGAACGCGTGTTGTCACATCAAAATTTGAATATTTAGCCCATTCGCCGTGTTCTCCTAACGACCAACCTGTAACAAGAGATTATTGAAGATGTTAGTTCAAAACGACAGATGGAAGGGAAAAAAGAGAACGAAAAACTGTAAATCTATATCATACAAATAACATTTTAGATACAGAAAGGTTTGAGGCAATCCCATTCACTGATGTCTTTCCCCAGCCATCTTCCATTTAAAAAAGATGGCATTTGATTGAGCTTTACTGGATATATATATATCAAACAGTCATGGAAAGGATTCACTCTAGCATCCTCCACTGAAGGAGACATTAAAAGAAATTGAGTTTCCAAGTCACAAAGTTTTGAAAAAAAGGGAGGTAGTGAAAAAAAAAAAAAAAAAAAAAAAAAAAAAAGAGCCAGGTTTTTAGAGGAGACCGAACTTGTGGAAGGAGGTAATGGCACAATATGCTGTTACGCCACTGCCATCTGGTGGAGAAACAGACAAGCAAAAACTCTGTAATGTTTACATAAAAAAACAAGTAAAATCTCCCTCAAATGCTGAACTTGTGTGCACCTGAAAACTGACAGTGTGTCAACCAACCATGATCTGAGGTAAACACCACCATAGTGCTGTCAGTCAACCGCAGCTCATCAAGAGTGCTAAGCAGCCGTCCAACTTGAGCATCCATATAAGACACAGCAGCGTAATAGTGCTGACGGATCCGCAGCTGGAACGCAAGACACACAATATTATTAGCGCATATTTCAGGGAGTAGCAACATGGGAACCAAATTATAAATGTTTTAAAAGTGTTGAGAGCAGCCAGATCATACCTGGAAGTCTTTAGGAATTGGTCCATAGGGGAAACTAATGTTGAGTTTTTGGACATCATCTCTCTTCCTCACATCCATCCAGGGGTTGTAGGCCACAGGTGGAAGGAGTTCAGGGACATTGGGGTCAGGAGCCAGAGTCATTTGGTCTATGGGATACAGACTCAGGTACTCCTAGAATATAAAAGCAACAACTTTTAAACTATGTTAAATAAAGCCAGGTACAATTTACATAACAGGTGGATTTGATTTGTGACAACAGAAGTTATTTTCTTGGGCCCAGATACTATTAATAGTTATTTTAAATTATCTAAATTTAACTGTCCTGTTTACCCACAATGCTATGGTCCCATTTTTCTGCCATGAAACAATGCTAAAAATAAGTCTACCAACAGCCATCCATGCTTTTATTACATCACATACAGTTTATTATTGAATGTATTATATTTTCTTCTGACCTCTGGGAGGAGCCTCAGGCCTTCACAGCCTCAGGCCTTCACAGCCTCAGGCCTTCACAGCCGGGACTTGTGGCTGTTTAACAAAATGTGATGGGAGCTTTTGCCGTTTGTTCCTCTTTCACTCTGAAACAAGCTCTTACCATTTCTCAGACAGGCCAAATCAGCCACATCTCTAAGAAGCATCTAAAACCCATGTTTTTATTTCTCTTGATTTTACAGCTTTAATTTTATGGCCTGCACACTTCTCCTTCATGTATTTGTCTTCTGTGTCTCTGTCTGCACTTCAGTGCTATATAGATTACAAAAAGTTTGCCTGCTTGCATTTTCCCATTCTGATTATGGCTATTGCATTAAACTTACTACAGTATTTGTGTTTTAAGTAAAAATATTGAAGGTATTACTTTAAAAACAAAAGATGAAGGTTTGGAGTTTGAACTTTGGTTAAGGAAGAGGAATTCCATTATTTTCTGTAATTACAGATGATCGTGTGTGAAGTTGCAATAGTACAATCCTAATATTACACCATTAGTATTGTGAAATCACTACCTTATTACCTACCTACCTATATTGTTGTTACTGCTAAGATATTTACTGTTGCCTCTAATAACCTTGATAATGCAGCACTAACTTGGGGCTATTGAGATTTTTATTTTTTATTTTTTTTAAACAGACCTGGTTATTATTGTCAATTTACGGCAGACAGGGATCCCCCTTTCCTTACAGCCATAAAGGAAGTTAGACCTCTGACACTCGAGTATTGCACATGTCTTTATCGACTTACATCATTCCAGAAACTGCATTTTTTGACTGAGTTGAGCAGAGATCGCTGTATGTGCAGACAGCATGGTGTAAATCACGCCCGTCTCTGCTCTCATTCAACACGTCTCAATTTATAGTTTGTGGGAAATCTCTTCAGCATGCTGACATGCGTCTCATTTCCGCCCGTCTCTGCTCTCATTCAACCTCCACTTCATCATACTCTCTTCCTCATTTATGCCGAATTGGATCCCCCATATATCTAGACAGGTCCTCATTAAATTCACTTCACATACAGTGTGCATCTCTCAATTTTAGCTTTCCAAGGTTCCCATTCTTTCGTCTCCTCCTAGGTTTTAAATACACAGCCCCACATTAAAACTAGCTCCTTGATGGGTGTATCTTTGGGCTTTCCCTTCATAAAATGCAGTGTATTTTTAAAACATCAATGCTCAGAGGGTTTTTAATTCTCTGGGAGCTTAATGAACCCTAGTCATGTGCACTTATTCCTCACTCCTTCCTCTTGTCTTCTGGTCCCGACTTGCTCTCTCCTCCATGTTAACACTGGCATTCATTCGCAGGCATCATTTGATAATTTGTCTCCTGAAAATCTTGGATCCGTTTATGTCCAAGATGTCCACAGCAACACATTCAAGCAAAACTGCCTCTCGCAGGAGGACAATGACTTTTCCACTCCACATGGACAGCCATGTGTGTTCACTTAGTAGCTGGAGGCTAAGTGAACTGTATAATGCATCCCAGTGAGTGAATTCAGAAACTCCACAAGCAGAATACACTCACCGGCCACTTTATTAAGTACACCTATTCAATTGCTTGTTAACACAAACAGCTAATCAGCCAATCACATGGCAGCAACTCAATGCATTTAGGCATGAAGACAACTGCTGAAGTTCAAACCGAGCATCAGAATGGGGAAGAAAGGATATTTAAGTGACTTTGAACGTGGCATGAACAGACGGGCTTCTGAGTATTTCAGAAACTTCTAATCTACTGGGATTTTCACACATGACCCTCTCTAAGGTTTACAAAGAATGGTCCGAAAAAGAGAAAATATCCAGTGAGCAGAAGTTGTGTGGACTTCTTCAATTTCAGCTGCGACATTCAGATGGTAGGATCAGAATTTGGCATAAACAACATGAAAGCATGGATCCCTCCTGCCTTGTATCAACAGTTCAGGCTGCTGGTGGTGGTGTAATGGTGTGAGGGATATTTTCTTGGCACACTTTGGGCCCCTTAGTACTTTTTTTTTGAGCATCGTTTAAATCCTCCCTGAGTACTGTTGCTGACCATGTCCATCCCTTTCTGACCACAGTGTACCCATCTTCTGATGGCTACTTCCAGCAGGATAATGCAAAGCTTTAAATCATCTCAAACTGGTTTCTTGAACATGACATTGAGTTCACTGTCCTCCAATAACCTCCACAGTCACCAGACCTCAGTCCAACAGAGCACCTTTGGGATGAGGTGGAACGGGAGATTTGCATCATGGATGCGCAGCCAACAAATGTGCAGCAACTGTGTGATGCTATCATGTCAATATGGACTAAAGTCTCTGAGGAATGTTTCCAACACCTTGTTGAAAGTATGCCATGAAGAATTAAGGCAGTTCTGAAGGCAAAAAGGGGGTCCAACCGGCACTAGCAAGGTGTACCTAATAAAGTGGCCGGTGAGTGTAGTTGCGGTCAGGCAAAGCCAATTAAAGTCACTGTATTTTGTCTGCTGACCTGTGGATCTTCAATCCATGGGTTTTCAATAAGGTTATTCTGATTAGACAGCAAATATCAGTTTAATGCAGATAGGGAAATGAATATTGGGCCAATAGATAAGTAATCAGATTTCTGTTATTTGAATATCATCATCAGTACCGACCTCAAGGGCTCACAAGGGCTCTTCACAGCATTATCTAGTCATGTAGCTCACATTAGATGTGCATGACCACCGATGCTTATCAGCAGCTCATCCACAGTACTGAAAGTTTATGCAGTCACTGTCAGAGTCACAAAATGTATTTAAGATGTCCAAAGTTTAGCACACAGCATTTAAGAGACGGTGAATGATTATCTTTTCAAGTGTATTTATGTGGGCTGTTATTGCACAAAAGAGCATACAGATGCTGTTTACACATCTACAGCAGGGGATCATCTGACGGGAGAATAATTTGCCATACATTGCTCTTTTACACTGCACTGTAAAGGCCTGTGTAAATAAACAATGATGCCACACAATGGTTCGAATTTGTGGCTCAGATACAGCGGGCAGATACAGAGATCAAGCATTTTCCCCAGGTGATTCAAAAACAGTGTTAACAAATTACCTTTGTTCTAGCAGGTTATTATCACATCAAGGTTTTTTCTGGCCACTAAATATAAATGGATGTTACACATCTACAGCAACATGTTTTGGAACAGGTACATTAAAGGGAGGGCTCATATTAATTTGATTCATATCTCAGAAAATGCTTGAATGAGAAAAATATGAATCTGAAAGCTTGCTGGAGAAAAGTTAGCCAAAAGATACAGTGGAAAGAATACGAATACACCCCTCGGTTTGATAAGTAAACACCCTTTACTGAATTTACTGAAGCATCACTTAACTCTCTCAGGAATAACCAAATGCCTTTAAGATCCCTTCTGTTTGGAAGTGCAGTCTGGAGGGTGCAAAGGAAAAAGCAGTTTCTCAAAATGTTTTTCCATCTAAAGAAGGAAACTGTCAAAATTAAAAAGGGAGGATGGATGGGAGCCAAATACAGGAAGATTCTGTAGGAGCGGCCTGCGAAAAGACTGAAAATGGATGGGAAATTCCTATTCCAATAGGACAATGACTCGAAGCACAAGGCCAAAGCTACCATGGAGCAGCTTACAAAGAACAAGCGGGATGTTCTGGCCATTTAAAGCCTGACCTGAATGCCAAAGGCAATCTGTGGAATGGCTTGATGGAGTTGATATAATCTTTCTTAGACATAGCCAAATCGCATAAGATATCTTACACTATCACATTTATACACACCAAACATCATTTTTTTTAAATCCGTTAAAAAGCCATGCTGGCACTTTTCAGCACTCTTCAATACCAACAAACTGCGTATTTAAGTCATGCCCTTGGCTCTAAAATTGGTGGTTATTTGGTAGATCAAGTAGTCACTATGACACTACCCCTAATTTCAAAACTGGTTTTCAAAATACAACTGTTGATTTAACTGTTATCTAACCATTAGGTACGTTACATCTCAAGCAGTGTAAAGGGCCTAAAGGTGCTGATATTAAGTCATGTACCTGTGGTATCCTGAAGGGTATGTGTGGTTTGTGAAAACCCACTGCCAAGAAGAAAGGATCATCATTGCTGACCCGACTCTTCAGTAGCCTCACTGCCTCGTCTGTGCTCTCCATGTCTGGGAGGGTTCCCCCAGGCTGCTCCGTCACGTTCACGGCACACAGTAAGTTGGCGTAGAGTTTGCCATCGTCTCCTTTGCACATCTAGAAACAAGGTTTTTATAAAAATTATTACAAGTAAGAGTTTATGAGCAGTTCCTGCCGAAATCTACATTTTAGGGCTTCTGTTGGCCTCATTTGATCAGCTGACGCCTGGAAGTTCACATTGAGTTGACACAGCTATTTCTATTCAGACCTGAAAACTACCAGATGATTTGGTAAGGAGGAATCACTTGAAAAGGTTAATGGTCACTGTCTGGTGCATTCACTACTACACTTTTAAAACGCTAACAAATGGTTTGAACAAGAATGCAAGACAATCAGAAAAGACCTGAAAATTAGAAAACAACATAGCCAACCACGCAACCCAGCCATGTGCATTGGATACAATGAAATTTTTAAACAAAAATATATATGACCAAAATTATACCCAGAAAGAATTAAAAACAAACTAATAATGGATTACATTTATATAGCTAAAGATATACTTTATCTTAGATAATATTTGAGCTTTAGAGTGAAGGGGGGGAACTAATCTGAACCACCGCCAATGTGTAGCACCTACCTGGGTGCACCAGAGTGCTCACCACTCATCAGCTGGGGGTGGAGAGGGCAAGAAACATAGAGGTGTCCAGATGGAGAGCCAGGTTGGGAATTTTGCCAGGACACCCTCTACTTTTTGTTATAAGTGCCACTGGATCTTTAATGACCATGGTGAGTCATGACCTCGGTTTAACGTCTCATCTGAAGGACGGCGTCTCCTACAGCACAGCGCAAATACAGCAGCCAGCAGGGAGGGGTGCTGAAGTTGTTCAATATCGTATTACAGTCAGGATGTTCATTTATAAGACTGGGGACAAATCAGACACTAGTAACTACCGTGACATCTGTGTCAGCAGTTGTCTGGCTAAATGATTCTGTAGTATTCTAAATAAAAATATAGTAGGTTTCCTTGATGAACATCCATTTTGAGAAAAAAAAAAATCAAATTGGCTTCCTCCCAAAACTCACACACCACAGACCATGTATATACCCCCCATACCTTAATTAATTAACAAACATGTACACCTAAATGGTAACAAATTCATTTGTTTTATTGACTTCAAGAATGCTCTCAACTCTATTTGGCATGAAGGGCTCTATTACAGACCTCCACATTGTGGTATGGGGACAAAATGTACAATCTGCTTAAATCGATGTACTTTATTTGTTTGACAGGGACAATGCACAATACATGTATTGTACCAGACTTAGCTAAAAGGTCATTCTCATTTGCAGTCCCTACTTGTTTGAGACCAACTTCTGCTACAGTATGACTAATGTGACATTATACAGTTTTGCTGCATCTGTACTCATTAGATTTCTTATAAATCTGAAATGGGCCAGATTATACTTTACTGGTTTTACAATTTTTGTAATATGTTTTTGAAGGTTAGACCACTATCAATAACCTAAAAATTTTACCTGCTGAACTTCCTGTAACCATAAGTCTCACTTTATTTACTGTCTATACAAATTACTTTACTATTCAGTTGGATCAATGCCTTAGATAGAGAGGTGAAGTTTTACACGTGTGACGTGTTCTACTGTCTTCTACAGACCAAGGACTGCAGCAACCGCTGGTGAAAAAAAAGGTACCGTCAGAAGTGAGCCATGGCAGTAAATATGAAGAAATCTAATGTCATGATTTTTCAAAATTGTACACCAGGCATGTGAGGAATGGTGTGCCATCATTTTAAACTACATTAGTCTTTTAATTTAATTAAAGTCAGACCCAGACATAACTGTGACATGTCAGACATGTCTGTGAGTGTGTCAGAGATACTCTTCCCTCTCCATACCTTTTTTTTCTCATATCTAAATGAAGCTGGGTGGTAGGCAGGGATGGACCAACTGTAGGGGTAGTCATCAGTGTAGTTGGAGGCAATACCTAAGAAGAGAAAATACAACACTACCATTGTTAGAACTACACAATAGGATAGACAGAAAAATGTCAAGACTTTTTCCAAGTAAACAACAAATTCCTCATTGGGTTCTTCTGAAAAATGCAGCCCATCATTAACTAGCAGTAAATCTGTGGTTCTTACTGCAGTTTCAGAGGTAACCATTCAGCAGGGTCTCTGTAGCACTTCCTAAGTTTGCTGCTGTACCAGCATACCACTTATTATTATTCTAATATTATTAATCTTACCTGGATGAAATACCTTGCCCACAGACATGGTGATGTACCCTCTAGATTTAAAGTACTGTGGTAGAGTTGTGTAGTTTCCAGAATGGACTCTCCAATAGGACTTGAAGTCATAGAGCCTGGTGGTGTCCGGCCTGCGACTAGTCAACATGGACGTACGGCTGGGAGCACACACCGCTTGCTTGAGAGAGAAAAATACACCTTCAAACATTTCGATGAGGTTATATGATCCAATTAGTCTCGCATCCAAATTGACTGAACTGCTTGGACAATTTCAGACAATAAAACCTAAAAACACCAACAGACCTGTGCATACGCATTGAGAAAAACTTGGCTTTTGGATGCCAGTTGGTCAATATTTGGCGACTTTACCACAGAGTCACTGTAGCAGCCCAATGATGTCCGCAAATCATCTGCCATGATGAGAAGGACATTTCTCCTATCTGAAAGCAAACAACCGCAGTTAATTAATGTTTTAGATTGCTTTAAGGCTTTCAAACTAATATTTGTAGTAGTAGAGTTTAGGCATAGTTGCTGCTGCTAAGCTTAATAGCAGGTGGGGGTAAAATGATAATGGAAACTAGAACAAAACAAGAACAAGGTGCTGTTAAAGATGCAAATACAGAAGCAAGTACAGTGTGTGCTAAATGAAAGCAAGAGACAGAGGATAACAAATTCCACAGAAGAAAGATGAACAGAAACTTTCAGGTTTCACTTCAACAAATATAAAGCTCAACACAATTAGCTTACAAGTGAAACTTACAAAGCACCATTCAATGAGAAAATTTAATTAACTCCAGCTTACTCTAGCTACAGCCGCTAAATAAACATCCCAATCATCAACCACTAACGTCTGCTAACTTAATTACTAGTTACTGAGATTTACTGTCCTTGCTGACTGCCTAACAGAAACCGGTCAAATCTACAAATCTACAAGCAACAAGCAGTCTCTTCATCATAATGCCCAAGCAGACTTCACATATTATATCACATTTTCACAAGTTTTGATAGCTATCTTTTCAATCTTTGCTAAGTAAAAACTAGACTATTTCGTTACCTCTTCTTGGGACAACCCCGAGAGCCTGTGTGTGAGGAAGCAGGAGGAGCAGCCATATTATTACACACATGTACATTTTGGTTTGTTGGAGAACACTAATGACACGATATCCTTCCGATAAAGAGTTCATCTCGCATCTCCTCGACAGTTTCAGCTGCCTTCCCACCGTCTCCCATCAAAACAAACGAGCGTGTCGCTGTCGTCATTAGAAAACTTCCTGATTATTGCGTGAGCCGAGTGAAATGTTTTCATTGGTCCACTCAGCAGTTGTCCCGCCCCGGAGCGCTAATCATAATTAGTTAAATTATGTGTCAATCATTTTAATATCGCTATAGCTGTCATATAGTCTATGGTCCTTACAAGACCCATAGTGACTATTAAATAGGCACAGTTGGTCTAATTAATGAAAACATAATCTAATTTCCAATTTCAAAGAGCTATTGGAATGACGAGATCTGATACGATAACTGACATTGACAATATATTCAGAATACTGTAAAGAGAAAAGAAACTGCATGGATAACCTACTATGTATCTGCCATTGTTATTAATTTAGGCCCTGATCAGACAGAATGCTTAATACATAAGCTTGTAGTTTGCATGTCGTTACTATGTATATTACGTCCAAACCATGATGTACAATCATAGACGAAACAACCTCACATTATTATTGCAGACTGAAATTATTTCTGCACCTGCTGCTATGGAGTAAACAGGCCAGATATAAATAAGTCATAGTATTACGACTGATTACTATGACCACATTGAGGAGTAAAAAAAATCAGAGATTATGAGAATAAAGTTGTATTTTTAAGCCACATGTTAGGGGAAATATCAGAAGAGCAGCCTGCCGCCTCCATGCGTTAAAATCTTTTTATATACAGTCTATGGTTAAAATGAGGAACGTGGAGAATTTTGTGAAGTTATATATTTCCCCTAACATGTAGGCTAGTTTAAAAATACAACTTTATTGTCGTAATATTACGACTTTATTCTCGTCATATTTATTGTCGTAGTATTACTACTTTATTCTCGTAATATTATTACTTTATTAATATTACTACTTTATTCTCGTAATATTATTACTTTATTAATATTACGACTTTATTCTCGTCATATTTATTGTCGTAGTATTACTACTTTATTCTCGTAATATTATTACTTTATTAATATTACTACTTTATTCTCGTAATATTATTACTTTATTAATATTACGACTTTATTCTCATAATCTCGTCAATGTGGCCCTAACAATCCGTCGTAATAGTACAGACTATTTGGCTTTTATATTTTGTAAAGAGGGAGGTTGGATGTGTTTATCTTGTCTAACTTGACAATGCTGGTGCTGATTGGTGGTAAACAAAGCGAGGTCTCACTCTGCACCAAATGAACTTTTGCATTTGTGACAAGATAAATTACAGTTTTTTTCTCCCTAATTACAAGACCGTTGAAGTTTGAATAGCAATACATTTAGGAACTAAACACAAAGTAAATTCTGAAACCCCAGAATCACAGAAAAACATTGCGGTTATCGTGTGTACCTTTATATACAGTCTCTGGTTTAAATACATTTTTGAAAAATATTTTAGAATGGGTAAAATACTTGCTGACACTTCACCAGACGGCAAGAGTACCCAGCTGCACGTTTGCCTTGTGGAGTTGAGGCGGTGGTTGAGTGAGGTATCACCTTAAACACAGACGATCTTTGGCTACAACAGCAACTCGGAACATGGCGGACACCGCTGCTAAACGAGAAGCCGACAGTGTTGGAGGCGATGAATTATCTCATAAAGTCAAAAAGGTGAAAGCTGATGATGAGAATGGTGGAGGAGACGTTAAAAAGGAATCTGAATATGAAAATATTCTGTCTGGGTTTAAAACATCCAAAGTGCTGAGTGATTACGCCCGAGAGAAACTCATGTTCATCCATGGAAAGGTAAGGTCGTTGTGCAGTTAGCTAAGGTGTTGGAAGATATTTAGCTAAATCGACATCTGTTTATGATGGTGAGAGCAATTATTAGGTTTTTATTGTTTCACATTTATTGAAACTGGGGTGAGTAGTTTTGTGAGAAAAAAAATTATTATTGACTTCCGGTCCAATATTTCAAAATACTAGTCTGTGTAAGAGTGCTTTATTGTAAATATGGATGGATGAAGTGAGTATGACAACAATGTGCATATGTTTATTTATTTTGCCAGTCTCATTATCAGCACAGGCAGAAATGAAACTGTTGATCATGTCGTCACCAGCTTGCTGATCAGGAGGCTGTGGTTATCCTGGAGAAGACTCCCATCAGAGAGGACACCCTGGATGAGCTTTTCAGTGGTTCCAGGTTGAAGCTGGAGATGAGGAACGACATCTACAGCAAATACCGCTTACAGGCTCCCTCTCACCTCAATGGTACAGCCAGGAAGAAATAAACTGACTCAAGGTATAGTGAATTGGCCAGCTAGAGGAAAGTTAGGTAGCCCGTGTGTTTCTGTTTTGCAGAGATAAAGACTACAGTGGTGTGTCCAGCCACAGAGAAGCATATAAAGAAATACCAGAGTCAGGAGAGTTTTCTGGTGGAGGAGACGGGGGAGGACTTTCAGTCCATCACTTTGCCCTACATTCAGAAGCAGAGTTTAAGCTTGCAGGTATGTGTTAACTCCTCCATTGTCATCACAATGCATACTTGTGAATGTATGAACATTATCTGTGGATTAACTTAACATCCCCTTCACCCCACCCCAGTGGGTGTACAACATCCTGGAGAAGAAGGCGGAGGCTGACAAGATAGTTTATGAAGATCCGGACCCGGAGGTTGGCTTTGTCCTCCTCCCAGATTTGAAATGGGACCAGAAACAGGTGAGACACCACAAATATTGACTAGAAAGACATGTTTATGAATGTTAGTGTTGGGATTTTCAGACAATTATACTCTACAGGGCTGCAACTAGTACTTCATGTCAAACTCACCTGTGAAGTTAAGCATATACTAAATGCTTATCAGATCCATATTTCTGCTCTAGTCCATGACTACAACTCAATGCCACATAGATGGATACTGGAATGCTTGGAAATGTACAAGATCAACAAGACACTAATAGCCTTCATCAAGAACGCAATGGGGCTGTGGAAAACAAGTCTGGAAGCCAACTCCAAGCCAATTGCACAAGTCACCATCAAGTGCGGCATATACCAAGGCGATGCACTATCCCCGCTGCTGTTCTGCATAGGCCTGAACCCCCCTCAGCCAGATCATCACAAAGACTGGCTACGGATACCGGTTCTGAAGTGGAACAACCATCAGTCACCTCCTCTACATGGATGACATCAAGCTGTATGCCAGAAATTAATCGACTCACTGATCCACACTACTAAGATCTACAGCAACGACAGTGGAATGTCGTTCGCACTGGACAAATGTGGTCGCATGGTATCAAAAAGAGGTAAGATGATCAAAACCGAGGGGGCTGAACTACTAAAAGGCCACATTGCAGATGTTCAGGACAGCTACAAATACCTTGGGGTACCGCAGGCTAACGGAAACCATGAGGAGGCAGCAAGGAAGTCCGCCACAGCCAGATACCTACAGAGAGTAAGGCAGGTCCTGAAAAGTCAGCTGAATGGGGGAAAAACAAGATCCGAGCCATCAACACATACACCCTGCCAGTCATCAGATACCCCGCTGGTATAATAAACTGGCCAAAGGAGGAGATAGAGGCTACTGACATCATGCACGGAGGGTTTCACCCCAAATCCAGCACCCTGAGACTGTACACCAAGCGTAGCGAGGGAGGCCGGGGGCTAGTGAGTGTCAAGACCACTGTCCAGGATGAAACAACAAAGATCCAAGAGTACATCAGGAAGATGGCCCCCAAAGATGAAGGGCTTAGTGAATACCTCAGGCAGCAGAAACCCGAGGGTGAGGACAAGGAAGACGAAGAACCTTCATGGATAGACAAGCGGCTACACGGCATGTACCACAGACAAATAGAAGAAGTGGCTGATAAAATCCTACCAGTGGCTGGAAAAGGCTGGACTGAAGGACAGCACAGAAGCACTAATCATGGCGGCACAAGAACAGGCACTCAGTACAAGACACACCAGGCAGGACCCCAGGTACAGACTGTGCAAGGATGCCCCTGAGACAGTACCGCACATAACAGCAGGGTGTAAGACACAGGCAGGAAGTGCGTACATAGAACGCCATAACCAGGTAGCTGGCATAGTGTACGGGAACATCTGCCATGAGTATGGGCTGGAAGTCCCAAGGTCAAAATGAAAGACACCTCCTAAGGTAGTTGGGAATGACCGAAGATCTTGTGGGACTTCAAGATCCAGACTGACAAACTGGTGATGGCTAACCAACCAGACAAACAGTAGAAGAAGGCTGCAGTGATAGATGTGGCAATCCCAAGCGACAGCAACATCAAGAAGAAGGAACACGAGAAGATTGAGAAATACCAAGGGCTGAAAGAGGAGCTAGAAAAGATGTGGAGAGTAAGAGCGACAGTGGTGTCAGTGGTAATCGGAGCACTGGGGTTGTGACCCCCAGACTGAGAGAGTGGCCACAGAAGATTCCAGGTAAAACATCAGAGGTCTCTGTCCAGAAGAGTGCAGTCCTAGGAACAGCTAAGATACTGCGCAGAGTCCTCAAACTCCCAGGCCTCTGGTAGAGGACCCGAGCTTGAGGATGACACATACAGCCCCACAAGGGGTGAGAGGGGGATTTAAAAAAAAATGTTATATATACACTGAACAAAATTATAAATGCAACATTCATCATGAGCTGAACTCAAAGATCTAAGACTTTCTCTACACAAAAGGCCTATTTCTCTCAAACATTATTCTCAAATCTGTGTCTAAAATCTGTGTTAGTGAGCCCTTCTCCTTTGCTGAGATAATCCATCCAAGATGGTGATCAGACAGTGTTTATGTGGCAATAAGTTATGGCTCCAAATCCAGTTTACACAAGCACTGTACTTTAGTGCAACTTTGACATACTTCAGTACTTACTTTGAGATTAATGATACAAAATATAATCAACAAATCAGTTATGATAATAATAGATAAGACTCTATTGATCCGCTGGGGGCAATCCTCAAACTAAACAGCACTATATGAGGTAATTAAAATTAGCCCCCACATTTACCAGCTACAACAAACTGATGTAAACATGACTGCATCAATAATTATCATCCAGTTACACACAGTATTCTGAAATAAGTAGATTTACTTTTGGAGCAAATTATATTTTGATGCTAATACTTAAGCACTTCGTTTCTTCACTGTGGTATTGCTACTTTTACTTAAGTAAACGATCTGAGCATATGATAAGTATAGTAGATAAACAAGTGTTTAGTCTGAAAAAATTCCCCCTTTTTAAAAGAACTTTCTAATCAACACAAAGTGGGAATGAGATGGAACAATAATAATAATAATATTTAATTTATAAAACACTACATTTAAGACAAATCTCAAAGTGCTACAAACTAAAAGCATCAATAAAAAAACAGATAAAATACAAAAAAAAGCAAAGTTGGTCACAAAGCAGCAACCTTCAAGGTTAATTAAAAGTTACAGGTTCTGCTAAAAAGATATGTTTTAAGTCCTTTTTTAAAACTCCCAGTAGTGTGAGGTTCACTTCACTTTACTTCATTTCTTCTTTCAGGTTGATGATTTATACCTGCTTGCCATAGCGCATCAGAGAGACATCGGGAGTCTCAGAGACCTGACGTCAGAGCAGCTACCACTGCTACAGAACATCCTTCAGAAAGGAAAGGTGAGGTTAAAAGGTTACCTCGGGGAGTATTCTTGGAGCAGAAAGTGGCCTTTTCGTCCAGCAGCTACCATTAATGTGACCTTGAGTATTACAATCATGATCTTCAACCAGTTACGTCATTGCTTTCCATTTTAGAGAGCTGGGAACAAGACATGGCTCAGGATAATGGGAGACAAATGATAGCCTTGGACATGTTCATAATGTCAAACATGCACAAAGACTGACAGTCTGTGTTTCCCTCTGGCTCAGGAGGCCATCCTGCAGCGCTACAACCTTCCAGGCAGCAAGCTGAGAGTCTACCTGCACTACCAGCCGTCCTACTACCACCTCCACGTCCACTTCACCAAACTGGGCTACGATGCGCCGGGCTGCGGCGTGGAGCGGGCACACCTCCTCACAGACGTCATCCAAAACCTCCAGTCAGACCCCCTGTACTACAAAACCCGGACCCTGTACTTCCCGCTGAGGGCGGACGACGAACTGCTCAGCAAGTTCAAGGAGGCAGGAAGGCTGTAGCGTGCTGTACGCTCATAATTCCCCTCAAACTGTGTTTTTTAGAGTGTCAGACCAAATCCAATGCTCTCTTTTATGTGTTTTTTTTATCAGTTCGGTTGACAACACCAACAGTGCTGGCCAGTAAGCTGTACCCTCCTATCAACACCTGGAGTACAGATCAATTGCTTGGCTATGATTTTATCTCTGTGAAAGAGATTTTTATATCTTTCTACTGTTGATTCCCAACTCAACTCTATAATGTTCCAGAAAAATAATTGTTTGAGTATTTCACACTTCGGCTGATTAATAATCACCAACACTGTCTGCATAGTTGATACGTGTTTTAATACTGTGTGGATACATGTTTGAGTCTGACCTTTTCACATTATTCCTGCTTTCATTACGAGAAAAGGAGAAATGGATGTGACATCATGAGTCAAACAAGTGGAAGTTGCTATCAATCTATGTTTTAATGTTTTCTATAGGTTAACTGTATCTGACTGAATAAAATTTGGCTTTTTTCTACTCGGCCTGTTAACGCTGTACTTCTTTGGAATACGATCAAAATCACCGAATCGGCTGGTTTCAAAAGCAGACACTTTTGGCCTTTTCCATCAAGTAAAGTAAAGTGGTAGATGCATTAACTTAAGACAAGGCATGTTTATTTGTTTTGCAGCCTTCAAACACGAGGCAATTCAAATGGCCACGGTTTACAAAATGTTCAAAAGATATAGCAAGCTCTTACAATGATCCAGCCACAACACTAGATGGCAGCGTTAATCCTGAAGGGTCCAACTTCTTTACTGTGAAACTAAATTAACGCAAAAACAAGCTCCACTCTTTGGATACCAGTAATAAGCTGGGGCTTACAGTATGTTGTCTGCCTTAACAAAAAAGAGAGATAATAGTATGTTAGGTGCCATAGCCGTGCAGGTCATGTAAACACAAAGCTATTATCACTCTCCACCAAACTATATTTAACCTGAGTCAGCTTACATTCTCTTGGAGCTCAAGTACCATATTTAGTTGGATTGATACCCACAACGCCAGAGGTCACAAGTACATGCACAAACACTAATTCCTGTACTGAAGTTGGCAGACAGTGCAGTTTCAGGTACAGATCAACTGTGATAGAGCTGCTTTTTTGTAGAACTGAAATCTAGCTGTACAGACCAAGAGGTTTTTTTTCTTGAGATGTTCAGACTTGATACACGAATATATTGTTTATGTGGACGTTTCTTGCAGCGGACATCGTTTTCTTATTTGAAGCCTGTTGGGCGGTACTCTGCTTTGTGCTTAAGGTGCCTTCAGGTGTTCCTCGTAAAAATACAGACTAGCGAAACACCACTTTGTGTCCACTTTAGTTGCTTAAAGTGCTCTAAATACATTTTGATTGAACAGGAAACCTGTACCCTCAAACCTGTAAGGGTATAAAATGAACTGTTTCATTACAACAAGGCACCAAGTCAAGAACCCATTAGAGGTCGGTTGAGCCTTTAAAAGCTACAACTTCTGAAGGGTTCAAATGAATAAAAAAGTGTCTGTGGAAGTTGGGTTTTCAGGTTTACACGCTGCAATATGATCATGGATGGACACATACATTTAAAACTACAAAAAGTCAACAATTAATCATTGAAAGTTGTTGAGTTATCAGTGGGATCTTGAAAATAGTAATAGGCCTAATAGGATTTGGGGATTATAAAATGGATTTATGTTTGTCTTCAATAACCACACAGATATTGTTTTGTGACCATTAATTCCAAATGTTGTATCATGCGCATATTGGAAACACTGGGATGCAGGAGTGAGCTTTTTACTTTTGTCGGAGTTGATTTCAAACTGCAAATAACTGAATGACAAATGTCTTTGTTTTGTTGTTGTTTGTTTTTGTTGTATCTATTATTCTGTTCCTTTATGTGCACATTTATGTCTTTGAGTAGGCTTAGTGGCCTATAATTCCAAATCCAACCTTTTTTTTGTGAACCTCCCAGAAAACAAATGCTTCAGAAAGAAACATCATAGCTCAATCTGACAATTAACATTTCATTAAATCAGTTTACCAACTAAACCAGCAACAAGCTCAGTAATAGCCTTGGTGTTTGGACTATCAGGTGCTGTCCAAAATGAAGCGTACTGTATATTGCAAAAAGGCCACAAACTCTATAGGCTACGTGACGTATATTGTAAACCTGAACTCGTTTATGTTTTTATTTATTTATAGTTCACACTGTGTTATGCTGACATGAAACTAGGAAAGCTAGAGTGCGACTAAGGCTGTGACTGTGGCAACTACAGGCAGGATTTAGGGGATTCCGAGCCGCCACTGAACGCAGCGCCGTGGAGCAGTGAACGCCCGTTCAGGACCGAGACAAATAATCCAATCATTAGCCCACTAACAGTGCTGATGTCTTGGTTCCAGTCTCTGAGGGATGAGTTCACTCTGAGACCGTTTGAGCTCCAGCAGACAGAGTGAGTATCCCCCCCGTGTTCGGGGTGAGCTTTAAGTGCACTGCTCCTCTGTGAGAAGGAAACTTCAACTTTGTTGTGTTCGGAGATTATTGGGCTGCTGGGAATTATGATGTTTGATTGGTGGTGATCGATACATGCGGTCGATACAGTCTCCTCCACTGCTTTGCTTTTGTTTGTGCATCGGCCTAAGTAGATGAGTGTGGTTTCTGTTCGGATCCTTATTTACTGGCAGCATTGGGGCAATGTAGGTGGGCTGTTTATGGCTGTAATTACTGAAGTCCAACTGTGAGTTTTTAAGGGGTTTATTTAGGGCATATCTTTGGTATCCCTACTGCGAACTGATCCAGCTATGACGCCTTTTTAATAACTTTATTTTATTGGCTAGACTGTTAAGTTTGTTTATTTGATGGTAATTAGACAAAAAAACAAAAACAGAATGAAGTCCACATTGCCTTTTTAAGTAACTTTATTCAGTCCTAACATAACTGGTTAAGATCACTTTAGAGGTTTCTGCTTATTATGATTAATTCTGTATGGATTTGGGTCATTAAGATGTATTTCAGGTTTAAAACGATTCCACAGGTTGGTTTGGGGTGAATTTAAATGAACTTAAACTGGCAAATCTGTCAATAGGACCCTGGTTATTATCCACATCTGCTTAAATGTATTATTTCCCAACTGTGTAATAACTCTCATGCAAATTGATTTTTATTTTATTCCATTTCTATTATTAATTCAATTTGAATTGATGTTCTGCCTTTATCTTTTTACAGTCTGATCATAAACACACTCCCTCAGTGTGACAGTGTGTGTATGAGCTCAGTGTTTTGGCAGAGGCAGGTCAAGGACAGTCCAGATTAAACAGTTATCTTTCACTGTGTGGGAACCGCTGTAATCCTGCACAGAGACGTTGGCTGATTCAGAATAGAGTCCTGTTGTCTGTCAGTGTGAGAGGATAAAAGGCTCTATTGATCTGCTGATCTGATCCTCATGAGGAGGACGTCCTGTAGAGCTATGTAGACGTCTGATTGCATTGGTTCTTTGTGCTGTATATGACAATAAAGCAGCTCACTATAAAGCCTCCACCGCTCTGATAAATGATGTTAGACTAGTCTTTTAGCAGTAAATCGAGTTAACATTATCACACCGGATGAGTGCACATGAGCTTAAGGGAAACCGGGCAGGTAATGAGGAGCTTGATAAATATACGTGTGTGTGTGTGACCTGTCAACTGTCACTGCCTTTCTGATTAGACGGCTGATCAGGTAATCTGTCAATGGGTCATTGAACAAACCCTCAGAGGTTTAAGAGAGACGTCCCTTTTACTATTCCTCTCTGTGAGGAAATCCTATCATGATAATTCACTGATAATTAGACAATTAGACTGTTGACTGTTGATATGTTTGTGTTTGTTTCTTGCATTCTCTGCATCCTGTACTGTTTCCTGCTTAGGAGGGCTCCAAAAATTTTACACATGAAGGTCACTATACTTGTCATGGCTAGTACTAGTTAACCTGTAAAAAAAAGTTGTATAGTGACTTGGGTGGTTTTGGAGCATCAAACAAAATTATGTTGGTTGCATAATGCAAAGTATAGGATCCAGTGTTTTTGGAGCTTGACTCATAACAGGGACTAAAAGTCAGGATCTGTCATGATTTTTTTTTGCTCTTTTTTTCTTGTCCCTTGTCAGTCCCCCAGCTTTATAGAAGTTCAGTACTAAATCATTGGAGTGTCCTTTAATTGTGGGATGACATTTGGACCTTGGCGGTCAGCATCTTTTAGAGTTACCGCTTTTGGACGACTTCAATTCCCAGAAATCTTTAAAAGTCGTCTTGAGAAAAGTAAATGGCTCTGGTTCGGTCACATTAGTCTTCCGTTCAATGATATTTCCCTGAACCGTCCCGAAAAATAATGTGATGTCACAAATCTGAAGTGGGGAATAACCTAATGTTGATCAGAGCGATCACTGTGATCCTGGCAGTGTAATGTTGTAGTAAACATGCTAGAATAATAGCTTCTATAAATATAATACATTTCCACATACAGTGCATCAGTGTTTCTATTGGTTCACCGAGTTCCTCCTCTCTGTCCGAGGTAAACCCTGACCTGCGAGTCCCCCGGAGGTGGCTGGAGTTTCCATTGAAGTGAAAGGGAGATGGGGTAAATGGTCGTAGGACAGAAGTATAATGCGACCATGACTTCAGTGTGTGGTCAGGATAGAGTTGAAGAGGAAGTTAAAGTTTTGATAGTGAGTCCAGATTTCTGTGGATGAAGGTCTCTCTCAATAGTGCATTTTGCAAACGTTTTAATTTGTGACTTCCTGTGTGTGTGTGTGTGTTTGTGTGTGTGTGTAAGGCAGGGGGAATTGCAGCCAAAGCTGATGATTTAGGCTGATAAAGAATTTTTACTCAGAAACCTTGCTTGGTACATTAATGCTGGGGCAGGCAACGTTGGAGAAGTGTCCAACCGAAAAAATGTCACCCCCTCGCAGGTGGAGAGGCAGGGAGGCCGGCCACGCTTATTACAGTCCTGCAACAGCTACAGATACCGGATGTTTTTCAGTTTTGTGTCTGAGCATTTGATTTATTGACTGCTGTCAGGATGTAAAGAGAATTTCAACAGAGATGACAAAAAATGCTTCTGAAATAAATTACCTAGCTGCCCAGCTTTAACGCAGTTTCCTAGCATTTTTGCAATATTTTACTTGCTTCATCAGATTTTCAAAAGTACAGAATAGAGAATACTCTGATAAACACATACACTCTATATTTACAAGACATAATAAGTAGCTTCTGTTGCCCTGAGTGAACTTATTATTGTGAAAAATGGGAGAGAAGAATCTGTTTGTCTTCATGCCTATAGTCCTTTCAGTCATGCTCATTAATGTAGAAATGGAAAAAAAAAAAAGTTATGTGTGATATTTGGTAATGGTAGTGCTGCTGTGGTTAATTTCTGCAGCCATTTAAAGAGACTTATGAATCACATCTGTAGGTAAACAAGAAATCTGTGCAGTTGGCTGTGGTCCACCTGTTGCCATGAAAATTCAACCACGCCCAAACCTGATGACAGGCTCACTGATCATCCATGCTTGAGATGCATCATTTGTGTGTCGACGCTCTATAAAAGCTTCAATTAAACCTTTTGAATCAACTGCTCGGATGCCCCCTGTTGCTTCAACACACAAACACACACACACGCAGTAAAATAGGTGTGTGAGTGAGCAAGTAGAGTTGAAGGTGGCCGTTTTGTTTTTATCGCCCCATAAACCTCACCTGGGACCTGAGCCGGAGAGAAAGAAGAAGAGATCTCAGCTTGTTGGAGGTGTGTGTTCTGTGTAAGATCTCTCACACACACACACACACACCACCCAGTGCGGCAGGCTTAGTGCAGGAGTATGATTACAGGGCTATTTACATTACAGCATAGAGCGACAGAGAAAGGGGGCGAGAGATTGGCAAAGAGGGAGAGAGAGAAGATGGTTTCCAGATGTGAGGTGGAATTCAGAGAGCTACAGAGCGACTCCCCTCCTCCTCCTTCTCTGTATAGAGCAAGATCTGGATCAGCCTGTGCATGTTGTAATGGAGAGAATAGGAGACAGAGAGAAACCACAAAACAGAGGAGAGAGAAAAGGCGTTGCACTGCAGGGGTGAGTGAGAGGAACTCGAGCCAGCAGAGGGAAAAGAAGTGATGGAGATGAGGACGGGGATGGAAAGAATAAAGAAGAAACAGGAGAGCAAAGAAAAGCAGCACTTCTTAGTCGACCATGAGTCCAGAAATCTAACTGGGGGAAGCTGTTTAAGTATTGGTGAGCAATAAAAGTCCACCAAAATAAAACACTTTTCCAAAATACCAAGCTTTGTTCTCCAAACGTCTGTAGCTATCGTAGTTCTTTCAGGGTCTTATCTGAGGTTGTTTGTGGCGTCTTTATATGTACAACAACCCCTCAGTCATTTCAATGAAGGGCAAAAATAGACGTCCGTCAGGCAAAAAAAGTTGAACCCAGCTGAAGTTTTTCCACAACGCAGTGCAACATTATCCAGCGACTCAATGCGCTGGTCAGTCCAAATGATCCAAGCAAACTTTCTTGGTAAATTACTTTGAAACATGAGCGACATAATTCAGTTTTCCCTTGTGTTTGTCCATATGGAGGTAAATGGATTGTTTTTAAGACACTGCAACCTAATTTTCATTTTTTCATAATCACTGTTGAAATGCAATATTTACTTTCAATAGATAAAAATGTTAACAAGAAAATGTGTTGAGGTCAACTTTAGATTGACTTGGAAGATAGCTGTACACTGTGTTTTGAAAATAAGACTATTTTGCATCTAGAAATGAGTGTAAATCTTGTTAACCCATT